TCTCGAAAAACAACAACAAAAATTTTTTAAAAACCCAAAAACTAAACAAACAAAAAGAATATTTGGTCAAGGGGCTGGAGAAATGGCTCAGAGGTTAAGAGTACCAGGTTCAATTCCCAGCAACCACATGATGGCTCACAACCATCCGTAGTGAGATCTGATGCCCTCTTCTGGCCTGCAGGGATACATGCAGACAGAGAACACTGTATACATAATAAACAAACAAATAAATCTTTAAAAGAAAGAAAGAAAAGACACAAGAATATCTGGTCAAGGCACATCTTGTTTGCCATGTGGTGGTGAGGTCGAGGGAAAGATACCCTCTCCCCCTCACCCTGCCACCTGTGGTGGGCAAGAGAGCTGACCCGCCCACTTACCAGCTGCAGCACTCAGGAAAACCAGCCCTGCACCTCACAGTAGAGCTGGCCCTGACCGGTCAGGTGTGGGAGAGCTGGCCCTGAGGGTGTGAAATCGGGAGAACTGGCCCCGTCCCTTGCTCCTTGCTGCATAGGGTGAACTAGCTGGAGTAACGCAGGAGAGCGCACCCTGGTGGTGAAGACGGGGGAGAGCTGGCGGGCTGACCAACCCTGCAACTACCCAGGCCCAGAACCAAGGTTATGAGTTGGCCCACCCCAACATCCACCCCATCTGTGATCTACTGGAGCACATGAAGGGGCTGGTCCTGCAGACCCAAAGCTTCAGGATCTCCAGGACACAGGGCAGCAACAGGATATCCTAGAGGAGTCCCTGTATCAATGGTGTAGCAGAAACCAGAGGCCTTGAACCAGATCTTCGCAATGCACACTTGCAAGTAAAGCTACAGGGACTAAAGGATGCACTGTGTGACTCACTGTGTCACCCTACAGCTTCCATGATGAGATTTCTCTTTCTTAAAATTTTCTGTTACATTTTATTTTGTGGGGGAGGGTACAAGGGGCAGAGGGTGGATACAAAGAGACAGGGAGATGAATGGGATCAAGACACATGATGTGAAAAGACAAAGAATAATTAAAAAGAAAGTTTTGAAAGCATCTGGCCAGGAAGATGGCTCAGTGAGTAAAAGTACTTGCCCTACAAGCCTGACACCTGAGTTTGACCCTGGCAACCCTCAATGGAAGCAGACAACTTCCAAAAGTTGTCTTCTGACCTCTACCTGGGCACATGTGCACCCCTGCAGCACATATGTACACACATACAATGACAGTAAATTAAATTAATTCTAAGAAAAGAATATTCCCGGAAACCCACACAACAATAAAAGAACTTTTCCAGCTTCAGTTTCAATTAATTAATTAATTCAGAATTAACATTTGAAAAGTATGTAAACCCGAACCATCCTACAAGTTAACACCATAGGGCAGTGGTTCTCAACCTTCCTAATGCTGTGACCCTTTAACACAGTGCCTCATGTTGTGGTGACCCCAACCATAAAATTATTTCCATTGCTACTTCATGACTGCAATGTTGCTGCTGCTATGAATCATAATGAAAATATATGATATGCAAGCCCCCGAGGGGGTCGAGATCCAGGGGTTGAGAACCTCTGCCTCTAGGCATCAGACACATACTATTTTACAGGTAAACTCAAAATGAACCTTTCATTTAGTAACATTTTTGTTAGGTCTGAGATCCAGTCTTGAACTATCCAGTGAGCTGTTGGAGCCACGTGGTTTAGTTATTTGGGCAACGTGTTTGGACCGCTCTGAGAATTTCAGAGGGAGCGACTGTGTGACTTATTACAAAGCTGTGGGGAAGATTCAGGGTTTTGTGACTGGCAGAGGACTATGTGCGTGGCAAAGTGACATCTAGCCCAAGGCTAGGAACTTCCTGTAGCAGCAGGGGATGGTCAGTCTTAATTGTCCCTGGACACAATCTAGAGTCCCGTGAGAAGGGACTCTCAACGAGGGCTGGGCAGTTGGCTCTGGGGCGTGTCTAGAGGGAGGGGGTGTCTTAAGTGGATTAATTAGGGGGAAGACACACCCTGAATGTGGAAGGCACAAGATTTTGGCCTGGGTCTCTGACTGAGTGGTGAGGAGACAGGGAGCTGAGCACTGAAAAATGTATGTACAATCATTCTCTGCCCTCCACTGTGTATGTGACCAGCTGCTCTCCACGAGGGCTGAAACCTGACATCGTGAGCTAAAACGAGCCTTCCCCCCAAGTTGCTTTCGTCAGGACATTACATCACAGAGGTAACAACAACAAAACGGAGGTCTGGTATGCTGCTGGAATGTTCCCATAGGCTAGTCATTTGACGGTTGCTTCCCCGGCTGACGGAACTGTTTTTAGAAGGTTCTGGAAAATTTGGAAGTAGACCTAAATGGAGGAGGAAAGTCACTGGGCTTGCATGCTTGGGGATATATCATCCCCAGCAAGGCTTCTGTTTCCTGGTCCCTGCGATGTCAACCGCTTTGTTTCAACAGGCCTTTCCTGCCTGACAGACTGAACCCTCAGAAACCCTTGCCAAGACAACTCCATCTTCCTTGTAATTTGTTCCACTGGGTGTTTCACACAGCGATGCCCATGTGGCTAGTGCCGGGCTGAGGGCGAGACTCAGCGGGCAGAGTGCTTGCCTGGCACACATCATGTGGTGCATGCCTGCAATCATGGCACCTAGGATGAGGAAGCAGTTGGCTCAGAAGTGTTAGAGGCTACATGAGACCATGCCTAACAACAACAAAAATCAGAATCATTAGTATGTGCACCTCCTGACTTACACCCCTCGGCACAGCGCAACACCTGTCCCCGTGGCCTGCAGTCAGGAGCAGCCGGAGACCGCACTGCAGCAGCTGGGCTCGTGCCTGAGTCCTGGACGGGTCAGCGCCATGTTTGAAAGCTCTTTTGATGTTGTTTCCCTGTAAGTTTCCTTTTTCTTTTTACAGCGTGTTTAGAGTTCTGGAGAGGTTTGAGGACATGTTGTTTCTCCCCTTGGTGCCTGGATGGGCTATTGGTGTGTGGAGAGTGAGGCAGGATGGGGAGGGCAGACAAGAGCTGCAGATGACAAATGCCCACTGCCATCCCAACTTCCTGCCTCCACTCCCTCCCTACAGGCCACTAATAAGATCTCTCTCAAAAGCTAAAGCCGTGGGGGCTCTGCCACAAACCACCAGTTCTCTGAAAGACCCTGGGAGCATCCTTCAACTCAGACCAGGGTGGCACTGCCCACCCCCACCCCCGGGCCACAGTCAGATGGCACAGGCCACCGTCTTGGGCCCACAAAACTACTCTCCCTGCTTTGGATGCCTATCACATGCTTTGAGCTTGATCTGTGCTTCTGATCAAATAGCTGTAAGTTGGGAGTCCCCGTCCCTCCTCAGACTCCATCATTTTGTCAAGACAGATCACAGAGCTTGGGAACACTCACACACAGACGCACTACAAAGGTAAAGAGGAATGGCCTGATGGAAGCTACCCACAGGACAAGACAAGTGAAAGGAACAAAGACCTTGTGCCCTGGCTGGGCTCTCCGCCCTCCTCTCTTCCCCAGTGTCCAGCCTGTAGCATCTCCCGACCCGGCCTTGGGCTTTTTATAGACATCTTATAAGGCGGCCATCACCGTGAGCCGCGGGCCGTTGGCGGTCAGTGTGACTTTAGGCCCCTCAGGCCTCCTCGGGTCCATAGATGGGATGTTGAGGGCTGGTGATCAGCCCTATTCCTTGTTCACACTCTGAAGACCCCCTCACCCCTCTGGAGACTTGCTGGGGTTCAGAAGCTATGGGCCAGGGGCCAGGTTCTGAGTCTACCACAGTACCACACTTCCATCTCATGGATGGGGACAGTGAAGCCTGAGGAGGTCAGTGTTCACCCTCCAGAGCCACCCACACCCCAGGAGTGCTGCTGTCCTCAGAGTTCCTCCTCAGGGTCCTGCTGGCTCACATCTATTGCACTGTTTTTCAGCTGGGTGAGGGTGGGGTTCCAGGCTGGACAGTTTGTCCTGGGCAGGGAGCCAGCTTACAGCCCCTGGGAACAGTGCAGCCCTGTTTCTTTAGGGCAGACTGTGCCTTGACCCTGGCCAGCTGTCCCGTCTACATCTGGGGTGAGTAGTCAGAGGGCACAGACTGTGCGTTGCCCACCCCAGAGTGGAATGGCACTCTGTGGTAGTCTCTGTGCTGTCCCGGATGCTACACTGATCAGACAGATGTGAACCAGAGCCCCCTCCTCTCCATCCCTTTCCTAGCTGTTTGGCCTTAGACAGGTCCCGTCATCAGGCGTCCATTTACCTGCCTGGGAAATGGATGTGTCTTGGAGGATGGCTGTGGCATCATCAGGGCTGAGGTTAACATCAGTGCTCCGACTTTGGGCTCAGTCCTGCCTCTGCACGTCTCGCTCTAAAAGCTTTGTCAAGACTGACACCCACAAAAAGGAAAGGCCCAGTGCTGAGCTCGGGGATTCAGACACCAATTTTCTGACCCAGTAGTTTTACCAACCCATTTGATAGATAGGGAAACTGAGGGTAGCCATCTGCTCAGATCACCAGGTTAGTGAGCCTGGGTTCAAAGCCAGGGTTTTGTGTTTGCCAAGGTGGAAAGGGTTTCCATCTATCCAGAGCACCCACTGGACAGATGAGGGAGTCAGGGCATCAGAGACAAGGAGCCACCTGCTGGGAGTCACCCCAACATCTCAGACTGTGTTCCTTCATCTGTGCCCAGCCTCCCAAGACTCTACTTTCCTTCCTCCAACAGCAGGTTACAAACTTTTGCCTCATGTCCCATGGAGGGACACCACAGCCCCCATCTCTCAGAGCAGTCTCTGGGGGCGTGGCTTTGCTATTCAAAGCTACAGTCACCAGGCAATTTCCCATACATGGCAGCTCCTTGCCTTCTTCCCACCTTGCCAATAAATTAGGTCCCTGTGACCTTCAAGAGAACTGGGGATTCAGAAAACATGGGAAGTTGTATGATTTAAAGTGACAGAGTTTGGAAGTCAGTAGGGAACTTTTCTAGGGCTCTGGAGAGATTTCTTCCTGGGTATTCCAGGTAACAAAAGCAGGGTCTGGTGGGTCTGGTGCCAAAGTCTGAGTCTTGATACTTGTATTGAGTGAGCAGTTACTATTTTCCAGTCATTTGGTGAGAGGTTACTATGTTCCAGTGGCTATCTGAGGAATTCTCACAAGCCAACTTAGGTAACACATGCCTCTGAGGTCTTGCAGTTTTCATTCTATAGGTAAGGAAACCAAGAGACAGAGCTAGGTACTTCTTTTGGTCAAGGACACACAGCTTGTGACTGATGCTTCCTGGTCAGTCAACTCCAGGTTTCATCATTAATTATTCTCTAGCCATGCTCATGTTGTAACAGAAGTCCTGGTGTAAGTGCCACCCAGACAACCAAGCCCAGCCCATCCATGGCCCCCGACACACGGCAATGGCCAGGGACAGCAGAAATACAAAGGACACAAATCCATAATCACTGAGACCCAGCAATCAGCCCCAGCTTTCCTACAGGTGGCCAAGGCATCAGTGTCACAGGCAAGGTCCTACTCTGTCACTTGTTGTATTGAACAAGACATCCCCATGCCACTAGAAGCCTTGGCTTCCTCCTCAGGAAAAGGATGGCAAGTTAATGCCAACTCCACGGTGCTGTTGGATGTGGTCAGAAAGCCTTGCAGAGGGTTTTTTTTCTTTTTCTTTTTCTCATCACAAAGCTGGATGCAATTGAAACACCAGCAGATTCCTCCTCCTCTATCTTAAGTTTTTGCATGTATGTTTATGTGCATTTGGGAGCCATCACCTGTACATGTGGAGGCCAGACATGACAATAGCGGCTTTTCTCTCCACCTCACTTTTTGATAGAGAATGCTCACTGAACCTGGAGCGCAGCGATTTAGCTAGGCTGGCTGAGTGAACCCCAGGGACCTGCTTGTCTCAAGCCCCTTGCTCCAGGGTACAGGCGTGTACCGCCACACCAAGCTTTTACATGGGTGCTGGAATCTGAGCTCAGGTGTCACCCACTGAGCCATCTCTCCAGCCCCTCCTCATTTTTGAATGCAGTCATTTATGTATATTCTGTTTCTGCACCTTTTCTCCCTAGAAACTGCCATGAGCAGGTCAATAGGTGGGGTAGATTTCTTTTTTGCAAACAGGAGAATGTGCAAGATCTTGGGGTCCCCTCCTCCCTAAAGATTCTTGGCTCACCCATCCCTTCTTCCCCTTCCTCATTCCCAGCCGTGGTTGTGGGTCCTGCTATAGTCAGCTTTCCTTCTTGCTCCCCAGGTTTCCTGCTCCTCGCCTGTGATCTCCACTGACTGGATGCTGTTTCTATAGCAACAACAGCTTAAGAGCCTTAGGCCCCCCTCTGAGGTGACAAGCTTGGATGGAGATGGCTGATCAAATTCCTCAAGCATCCTCAGCCTTCTGGATACAAGGCCTAGGAGAGGAATGCAAAGTCTGAGCTGCCTGGGACCTGGCGCCCTGGGAACTTCCCAAGGGACCCATGCTAGGTCTCAAGTGTCCCCTGAAATTCACGCACTGGGAACTTAGATGGAAGTAGCCAGTCCTGAGGGTGCCCCCTGTCCTCCTGTGAGATGAATGTGGGAGCAGTCCTCTTTTAAGGGTGTGTTTGCCCCTTCCCCTGCTTTTGCACGCAAGAAGGTCCTCACCAGAGGCAGCCCTGGACCTTGTGCTCCCCAGACTCTAGAACTGTGAGTCCAATAAACTCTCACTGTTTGCAAGTCACATAGCCTGTGGCAATCTCTGATAGCAGCAGAATGGACCACAATGCTCTAGAAAACACCTGAGCAGGTGGCCCCAGCACAGTCTCCAGCCTTCCCCAGGCCTACAGCCCGGTTTTAGTGTGTGCTGTGGAGAGGATGTCATTCCCTGGGCAGGCTTCCTTACAGCCACCTTCACTGGTGGCTCTGCAGCAGGCAGAAATCCTGCCTGGAGAGATCCTGAATCTCAGAGAAGATTCTTGAAGCTGTTTGGGGCTGATACGTCTCTTGTGGCACCTCATTCTCCCGAGAGTGGTTCAGGCCTCTTTCCTCCCTGACATGGCCTCGGTGGTGGGGGTGGGGCGGGTGTTTCATCCTCCTCCCAGGGCCTGAAAAACTTAGGCAGGGCTGCCAGGAGGCCATCTTGGTTAGTCAAGACTGAGAGCCTTGTGAATGCTTTCAACATGTCAGTGCTCAGAGGTGACACTAGGGGCGCCACACTCACCCTATAAAAAGCTAGGTGCTATAGATCTAACAGTCACTGTATCCACCCTCCCACCAGCTTTCAAAGACCACTCCCCTCCACGGTTGTCCCTGATGACACTGGGGGTTGACACTGAATGTGGGACACTGTGATGAAGCATGGGAACAGGAGGTGTCTGTGGAGAGCAAGGACAAGAGTCCATGCAGTTCCTTGAGTCTGGGATGGGAGCCCAGTCCCAGGGAGAACTCTGCACCAAGCAGTTTCTTCCTCCGCCATGTTCCTGTCCTGGTCCGCCAGGGTCAGCTCCAGGGAGTAGGAGGTGAGGTCTGCCTCCCCTCTCAGATGGGCGTCTCAGAGGCCTGAGGCAGTCCCCTGCTGTCTCCTAGCAGATCTCAGCAGGATGGAGCTTGCAGGACAAAAGCCTTTCATTCCCTCCCCCTGATTACCTCCCTCCCCCTGCTTACCACTCTCCCCCAGTGGCTCCTGTGCTAAGTCACAAAGTCCTTGTCTCAGGGTTTGTTACTCTGGGGCTCAAGACAAGAGGCTCCTCCCACTACGTTGTTACCCTTGTGAAACCCAAGTCGTAGAATGGGTAAGACTTTGCCAAGGTGGCCCCAGTCAGCCTTGCCATATGAGACTCTGCTGTCACAGCCCAATGCCTCCGATTGAGTCTGGATTCTAACTCCCACCAGCACTATCTGTGAGGGTTAGAATCCATCATCTTGGAGTTTTCTGGAGCCAGAAGGTGGGCCTCCTCACTCTGCTCCCTGGCCATGTCTGATAGGGTGCTATGGGCTCAGCAGATCCCCTCTCTTGGTCCTATTCCAGTCCCCAGAGCTGATATGATGGTTCAGATCCAGTTAGAGGGACGCAGGCGGGCTTGTGCAGGGTGAATCCTCCAGGGATGTCTGTGAGTCTGTCCCCTCAGAGGAAAAACTGCCCCCAGTTGGGTGGGAGGTCTTGCTCTGTCTGGAAAGATGATGCCAGGAAAAGAGAGAGGCAAGGAGCCGTTCCAGCGTGGGCTCGGGGGGCTTTGGGGTTCCTCTGCCTTCCTCAGTGTCCACAGTCTGGCTAGCTTCCTGGGGTGGCAGGCCTGTCCACACGTTTCTGCTCTGCTCCCCTTGGAAGACATGGGGAGACCAGTGGGATTTTGACACATGATCTGCAGCCAGAGAGTCCTGTAGGGACCTGTCCCATTTGGAAGCCACTTCTCTAGGCAGACCCTGGCCCTTAGCCGCTGGCCTGTTTCCATCTGTGTGTACCGAGTGGGCAGCAGTGACCTCTGGGCAAGGGCAGTAGGCTAGTGCCTTCACCAGCAAGCCCTGGATCTCCTGGTGTCGCTCCTGGGCCTCTTCCCACAACTCCTGGCCCAGGCCGGCCCAGCTCAGGGAGGCCACCTGGAGCTTCATGGCCAGCAGCTTCTCCGTCTGGAACTCAGATGCCAGGCGCTTCAGGTAACAGTGGAGGCGGAGGTGGAGCTGGTCCCCAGGGCTGCTCCTCGGCATCTTGCCCAGCCTGAGCTGGGTCAGCAGTTCCTGACAGTCCACGTGGAACCGGGACATCTAGGGACGGAAAGAGAAAGGGAGGTGGGGACTCGTGAAGACAGGATGAGACTGTGAGTCAGAGCATTTGCGTCAGCTCGGCTGACTGAACTATTAGGTGCCCAGCCTGGAGGGCAACAATGATCTCCTGTGACTGTCATCACCATTATCCTCTTTCTTTTGGGATCCATACCCCTGCCACCTTCAGATAGCCTCTAGTACCCCCAGGCTCTTCAGGCCCCTTCAAACAGACACACAGGCCAGCAGGACATATGATAAAACAAGAGCTGGAGAAATTACTCGAAAATCCTCTTCAAAACCGAGAACCGGGATGGTGAGAGAGCTCAGTGGATAGTGTGCTTGCAACACAAGCATGAGGACCTGAGTTCAAATCCCCAGCACCCGCGTAAAAGCTGCACAGGGGAGCTTGCAACTGTAATCCCCGTGCTCCTGGTGTGGAACAGGAGGCAGAAACAAGGCAGCCTCTGCAAGCTCCAGGGTCAACTAGCGTGGCATGCTGTGACAAATGACAAGAGACTTTCAAAAAAGGTGGTGTGAGAACTGATACCTGAGGTTGTCCTTTGACCTCTATAGCACGTCTCTCTCTGACTCTCTGTCTCTGTCTCTCTCTGTCTCTCTGTCTCTCTCTGTCTCTCTCTCTCTGTGTGTCTCTCTCTCTGTCTCTCTCTCTCTGTCTCTCTCTCTCTCTCTCTCTCTCTCTCTCTCTCTCACACACACACACACACACACAGAGTGTAGCTAGGCCTGTTAGTATAAACTTGTCTGTCATTCTGGCCGCTCCAAAGTTCACGGCTGGATGATGACTCATTCAAAGTCTTGCTGGGCTACAGAGTGAGTTCATATCTAGCCTGGGCAATTTAAGGAGACCCTGTCTCAGAAAGTCACAAGGCTAGGGGTGTGACTTGGTGGCAGAGTGGCGGAGTGTTTGAGGCCTTAGGTTTAATTCCCAGCCTGGGGTGGGTTGACGGGGTGGGGGAGCTGAGGCACTGAGGGAGGAGTGTTGTTAATACATCCCAGAGTGTCATCTGCCTGCCTGGCTCCACGAGTGTCCCCGGTCACTCCTATGAGCTGGATTAGTAGCCCATTTCACAAAGGGAGAAACTGAGACACAATGAAATCACTTGTCCCAAGTCACACAGTGAGGTGTGTGTGGGGGGTGGAATCCTATCCTGGATCCAACCTGCCTTCTTGTGCCCAAAGAAAAGCTGGCTCAGGCAGGGGTAGGCAGTCATCCCAGCAGGCCCCACAGCCCATACACCGGCTGGGCCTCTGCCCATCCTGTGACTCTGCCTGTCCCACTCCCTGCCACCCCCACTGTACGCTACAGCAGCTGATGCAAAGAATAATCTCTCTCCATTAATTCAGGGCTGGGAGCAAGCATTGGCCAGGGGACAGCAGGGCCGTTTGCTGCGAGGAGGTATCTTTCCGTGGATTAAGGGAGCTTGTCTTTAGATAAATGGCTTCATATTCACAGTAGCACTCAGAACCCACAGCACCATAAATCTCCCTTAGCAGCCAATCGAGTTAGGATTATTTAGGGCAGAGCGTACAGCACTCGGGCGCCCCACCTGGGCAGAGTCCCGTCTGAGTCCCCATCTTCCCAGCCAAGCCTGGCAGTCATGGCCAGTGACCCAGACACCATCTCTAACTCCTCCTCACAGAGAGGAATGGTCAGGGCAGCAGTATCCAGCCCCGATCAAACTGCCCAAGGTGGGCAAGGGACGGTCAGGCCTGCTCCCTTCCATGGTGCTCTTCTACTTAGGAGGAATGTACCTTGCCCCAGGCCCAGCCTGACCTCTTCTCTCTGTCTCCCTTTTTACGTCTCAGGCTAGGACACCAAGCGTGCCCCGACACCTCAGGGAGCTCACAACCCAGAGGGCACACCAGAGAGAAGCAAGTGATGAGCAGAGGATCATTTCAGATCCCGAGGGGCACTGTGAAGCTAGGGCGTGGCAGGTGTAGTGCCCACGGCAGGCCTTGGCTTTTCTGGCCAAGGAGCAGCTTTCCCGGCAGTGGGAAAGCAGGTGCAAAGGCCTCGATGCTAGGAGTTGGGTTAATTCCGGGAAGGCTGCAGGGAGGAAGTGGGCAGCCATCACTGAGCAAAGAGAAGCTTCCAAATGGCCTTGATGCTAGGTGCATTGCTCTGGGGGGGCCCTCAAATTTAATCTTTCCTCTCTTTAAAAATTTTATTTTATTTTCCATGCATGAGGGTTTTGCCTGGGTGCATGCCTGTCTGTACATCACATGAATGCCTAGTGCCCGAGGAAGCCAGAAGCATATATTGGATTCCCTGGAACAGGAGTTATGGCCTGCTGTGAGCCTTTGTGTGGGTGCTAGGAATCAAACCTGGGACCTCTGGAAGAGCAGTGCTCATAACCACTGAGCCATTTCTGCAGCCCAAATCTGCTTCTCCTACCGCCTGGCTGGGAGCACATTCAAGCCAAAGGTCTGAGTTTGAATTACAGTGCTGCCATCTGCCAACTCTGTGACTTTGGGTGAGTCATTGAACCTCAGCACAGGATCGGCATGACAGTGAAGTGATTAGAACACAGCCTGGCACCAGAGAGCCTTGCGGTGATATATTATTTTTGATTTATTAAAGCTTACCTGAGGATTCAGAAAAAAAAGTCATGGACAAGTTATAGAGTAGGTGGTGGCACACACCTTTAATCCCAGGATCCAGGAGATAAAGGCAGATGGATCTCTGTGAGTTCAAGGCCACTCAGGGATACACTAGAGTGAACTGGTCTAAAAGAGAATTAGAGCTCACACCTTTAGTTTAGGGAGGTATATGAGACAGGAACAAGGTCTTAGAATCAGGCATTCATTCCCCAGCCACGTGGAGAACAGGAACGCCCCAGCCCTGTTAGAGGTAACGACTCTCTGGGAGCTCGGCGGCTTTCCTTCCCTGATCTTCAGGTTGAGCCCCAATATCAGGCTCTGGGTCTTTTATTTTTCATGCTACAGACCCTACGCTAGCTTCAGCCATTGTTACGATCAACAGGGGCTGATGTTCAGAGAAGTGAGGACAGCTGCTGAGGTCACACAGCCCACATGGGCACGTGTGGCCCCTGTCCTGAATCCTGGACTCTGTCCTCCTGTGCTCTCGATGGAGAGGAAGGAGCAGGGTGTCCTTTGGCTGCCACTGCTGACCTCTGCCTGCCTTGTCCCTGACCCAAGGAGACAGAGAAGCCCTGTCCTCCGTGTCCCCAGGCATTTGTGAGTGGTCTGGCTCCCTCCACCGCCCTCTGAAGCATCCTATGTCCCCAGCTGTCCCTTCATGCCCAGACATCCAACAGCTGGGGGTGGGGTCAAGCTCCTCCCATGTCTGTCCTTCATGGCAAGTCCACGGGGCAGCCGAGGGCACAGAGCAGTCATATGCCTTCCTGCCTAGGCGGGATCCAGCTCGTCTTGCCTTCTTTCTTGTCCATAGGCCTCCGTTTTTCCATTAGAAAAGTGGGGGCTGGGTTATATGGATTTAGGAGGTGAAGCCTTGAAGTCAAATCCTACTCGATGACTATTTAATCCTGCCTGAGTAGCTTACCCCTTCTGGGTCTCAGTTTTCTACTCTGTAAAATGGGCACAATGCAGGTGGGCCGGATTCACCCAGAAACAGGCAAGTATGAAGTGTTCACACGCAGGGTCCGCACTCAGGCAGGCTTCACCACTTCTGCCTCATCTTCACCCTGCCTACTTGGATAAGGGAGCCTGCTGCCCCTCAGCCTCTCTTTGGAGGAGGGAGGACCCAGGCACATCCCAGGGCAGGCCACACCGGCTCCAAGTGAGCTTCCTGTCCCCCCTGGCCACCGTGGGAATGGATCTCATGTGCCGCCCCAGCGGGAGGGTGTGGGCTTGTTCTGATGGGTCACCAGGCTTGCTCACCTTCCTTCTGAAGCGGTGGAGGTGGAGCAGGGTCTCCAGGTCAGTGCGCTGCCTCTCGGCCGCCATGTAGAAGTGTGTCAGCCTGGCTTGAAAGGCCTGCTGGGTGGAGGCGAAGGCTGCCAGGTCTGGGGACCCCGTGTCACCGGCCCCTTCCTCTGCAGCGCCCAGCTGCGCTGCCTGCTTGCACAGTTCCAGGCCCTGGCGGTACTGGGCCTGAGAAGGAAAAGGGCATCCACTCAGCTCCTGCCCGAGGATCCGCCCAGCAGTCAGGAGCCGCCATGGCCTTCTGAGCCTCAGTTTCCCTATCTACAAAGCTCATCCCATGCTCAAAGGCTAACATGCCCAATAGTCCAGGACTTTGCCTTGGAACTTCACATTCTTCTGGAAGGTTCTGTGATGTTAAAGCCTGGGTCAGAGGCTTTGATCCCCCACAGTCCCCTCTGCTGTGTCCAGGCCATCCTCCACTGCCTGGGAGTTCCCTGAGGGCTGTGACAGGCCAAAGCCTCCTGTGTCTGTCACAAATGTGGCATCCTTGACTGTCACTCCAAGCTGACCCAGCAGGCCAATGTCTGGGCCCTGGAACCTGCCTTTTAAGAAGCCCTCCAGGGTTCTGACATCTTTACTTGGTCTTGGAGTACTTCCTGGAGGAGTCAGATCCTAAGATGATGCCTCCGTGGTCCAGGCTGTCCCCCTCGATGCCCCTGGAAGCTCCCCTGCACTTTCCCACCCCTGCATCTGGGACCTAGCAGACCCCTTTGGCATCTTGGGCCCTGGAACATACCGCAACCTGCAGGAAGAAATCCTCAAACTCGGCGTGGACTTTCTCGACTTTCTCTGCACATAGATCAACAGGGGCAAGTGCCTGTAGACACTGGCTTCCTTCCCGTTCCATCCAGTCATTGACCTGTGCAGAAGATTGTGGTTCAGTTGTGATGGGTGACCAAGGAGCCATCCCAGGCCAACTGTCTACTTCCTGTGTGTGTCTACACGCATGGGCTTGTGCATACATGCGTATGTAAGTATGTATGCATGTATGTATGTATGTATGTGTGCAGGTGGGTGTATGTGAGCGCATTTGGGTGTGAAGGCCAGAGATCAACTTGGGTATTGCTCTGTAGGAGCTGCACACCTTATTTATTTATTTTATTGCTCTTCACAGCAATAAAAACCCTAAGACAGAGCCTGTGGTGGTTAGTGCTAATCCTGAACATCACAGAATGCAAGATCCCCTGGGGTTTGTCTTGGTTTTATTAATCGCAGTGGGAGACCTGCCCACTGTGGGTGTCGCCATTCCCTGGCTGGGATCCTGGACTGTATATTCCTGTTTGTGGGTGAGTCACGATCCTTCCACCTGGACCCCCACCGTGATGGACTGCACTCTTGAACTGAAAACCAGAATAAACTTCCTCCGGTTGCTTTTGTAAGAATATTTTTTATCACATCAACAGGCAAAGAAAATAAGGCATTCTTACTCTGGGGATACCAACAAAGATACTTTGTCCTCAAAAAGCTCAAGGCTAGAAATGAGGGCACAGAGGCTTGAACAGTCAGGTAACCTGAGGGTCAACCTGCTCAGCAGGGATGACCCAGCCCAGGGCAGACAGGGATGGGTTGACTTTAAGTGCTAAAGCCAGGTGAGGGGGTTTCCCCAGCTCCAGTCTCAGACTCCAGATGTGCAACCACAGTGGGCGGCATCTGCCTGCCACGGTTTCCCCATGTGTGGTGGGGAATCCCACAAGTTCCTATGTCACTGGTAAGAGACCACGCTGGAAGACAAGAATATTCACAAATACTCTAGTCCAAGAGCTGCCAGCCTGTGTGTAAGTCCAGAACAAAGTGACCCTTGTAAAGCACCATGTCCCCCAGTAGCCTCCCCTTCACCTGGTGGATGGCAGCTTCCAGGCGGCCCAGGCGGACACGGAGCTCCAGCCTTCCGAGGAGGTGATTGGACGCAGTGACCAGGACATGAAGCTGGTCGTCCACAAGGTTGTACAGGGCTGTGGCTTCTGTCAGACGGCTCCTGCAGAGGAGTAGGGGGAGGGGAGGATGAAAAGACACCCCCCCCCGCAGTGCTCTCACCAGACATGGGCCTGCCCTCCAGCTGGGCTGCCAGCCACTGACCTGCTGTGTGACCTGAAGCAGATCCCTAGCCCACTCTGGGCCTCAGCCACGAACCCATGGATGTGGCAGGAACTTGGCAGAGTATGAAGCCAGCTGTGTGGATCTGAGTCAGAACCCCAGTCCTGCTACTGCCAGTGTGGGTCCTCGTGCAACATCACCACTTTGGGGCCTCTGTTTCCCTGTCTGTAAAGTGGGAATAGTAACAGAACCCACTTCCCAGAGTGGCTGTTAGCAGCTAAGTGGTCGATACAGGGGCTTCCAGAAGCGTAGCACCCACATTCCATCCCAGGCTTCTGCACGAGGCCCCGACAGCGGAACTTTCTAGTGCTGCTTAGGGTGTTCTGAGACGCCAGGGGACCTTCCCTTCTTCATAGGAAACACTCAGAGGAGTGCTGGGCAGCAGGGGCTGGCTGGCGCTCACCCTACCTGGCAACTGTAACCCATGATGGCCTTTTGTCTCTGACAGAGTCTCGGTGTCCCAAGCTGGCTTCAAACTCCTATGTGACCAAGGATAACCTTGAACCTGGGGTCCAACTGCCTGCCAGGCATTTCTAAAGTGGCCAAAGCCTGGGATCTAAAGCAGGTTTGTGAAGGAATTTCTCTCATGGACGTGCTCAGTGAAGGGAGAAACTGGAGTCTCCCCACAACTGCCCTGGGGAACCTGTTTTCACACAAATATGATGAAAGGAAAGGCTGCCTTTCCGAGGGACACCTGTCCCGGGTCCTACATCAGAGGAAAGTCCAAGACTCCTGAAGAAGGCGCGAGTCCCGAGGGCTGCAGAGACCTGACAGGCACTAAATAGGGAAGGACTGTGGTGAGTGTAGGCCCACAGCGCCCCCTGGTGGAGCACCAGTTCAAGGTCTAGAGGGATCTCAGGCAGACAGGCAGTAGGCAAAGCAGGTGAGGCAGGAGCATGTTGGGTTAACAAGAGGGGCAGGAGGTGGCTCACTCGAGACACCAGGGCCCTCCATTGTTCAGCTCCACCTGCAATGACCCGCCCCCAGCATCTAGGGGTGCACCTCAGGGTGATGTGTTCTGCCAGTTTCTACCTACTTCCTGGCCCCACCACATTCCAGATGTGTGATCCCAGGATACTCAGCGACCCTTCCTCTATTGTAACAAAAGTGGGAGTTAAATGAGTTAATATTTACAATTCATTAGGACAATGTACACACAGATGACATGTTGGTTCAGTGCACAAATTGTTCTTAAGTGTGTGTATAAACTTTGCATTTGGCTCTTGAGTAGGCATGCCCATGTCTTACTAAAGCAAATATTTCTAATTACTGACCAACGCAATGACATGCTCAGTATCTCTTGTTTGGGCTCAGAAGCATATCGGATTTTGGAGTTTTCCCAAATATATACATATACATGGGCAATGGAACATTTGCATTTCAGATACATCTTTACACACAGCCTGAAAGTAATTCTGTACAATCATTTCAGTAATTCTGAATATGAAGCACAGTTTCTCTGGTTGTAATTTCCTCACTTGTGCCAGACTCCCTGAGACTTTAGAACAGGCAGGACATCTGATTTTCAGACTGTGGAGGTCCCAATTCACTCAGTCAAGGAAGCTGTCATCCTGGTAGGTCTGTCACCCACCTGTGGCTCCTGGCTTCCCCCAGGCTGAGCATGGCAAAGACAGACCTGTAGAGTTAGCATCCCAGCTGCCCAGCCTTGGGTTCCTATGGGCCTTACTGCCATTTCCCTGTGCTCAGTTTCAACTTCTTCTTGCTAAGTAAGAGTGGCGTGGGCAGCACCAGGCTCTTGCCAGGAACAAATGAGACAGGTCTTGAAGGGCTTGGACCAGAGTCTGGGTTGGAAATGGGCGTGGAGGGAGGAAACAAAAGGTGGGGTGAGGGGCTGGCGAGGTGAGGGGATGGCGGGGTGAGGGGCTGGCAGGGCCAGGGGATGGCGGGGTTATCCCCAAGGCTCAGAGAGTGAGGAGCCTGTGACCCAGCTGTGCCTACCCTATACATTCCCTTCTCAGGGTGACCCCACTTCTGAGCTGACAGAAAATGAAGGAGGGGAGATTGAGTGTCTATACCTGACATCAGGGTTGGTGTTCAACCTGCTGGCCTCCTGCTGTAACCTGGCCAGAGTAGCGCCACCTTCCCTCTGGAGAGCCAGCAGGCCCGGATCCCTCAGCACAGCCTCCATCAGATCCTTGGACTTGCTCAGGCACCTGGTGGCCTCCTGCCAACATAGGGGGTTGTCCTGAGGCCCAATCTCCACTCCTCTGTAGCCTTCCAGGGCCCTGACTCTCCCAGTTGGATATTCAAACATCTCCAGGATGTAGCCCTTTAATCTCTAGCACATCTCCTGAAGCTATGACCCTCTTATCACCATGGTAACCTCAGGGGCTTCATCCTCTCTTGGGAATACCCATCCTAGACTCTTGGTTGAGCTCTCTGATGCCCTCCAGCTTCCCCTGCAGCAATAAAAGGACATCAAAGGGCATACCCCATGATCCCCTGCTTCAAATTCCCCAGGGCTTCACTGCCCAGCTCCTTCCTTTTTATTCTGCTCCACAGATATCCAGTTACACCCTGCCTCTGGGCCTTTGCACATGTGGCCCTCTGCCTGGAGCTCATTTCCGCTCAAAGACATATTCTTTCTTTCAGGCCTCAACTAAACACCATCTCTTCAAAGACCACTCACCTTCCCCACTCTTACCCCTTTTATGGCGTTTGACACAATTTGCAACTACCCTCCTTCTTTTTATTTCCAGTTGAGGGTCTCCTGTATCCCAGGCAAGAGTTCTACTACTGATCTTCATCCCCAGTCCCTCACAACTACCCTTAAATAGCCACTCTGTCTCTGCGCCACGAGCCTCACCAGAGCGGAGGCAAGCTGGCTTGTCAGGCTGGGTCCCCAGTGCAGAGCACATGGTGGACGCCCTAGAACTATTATCTGAGTGACAAAGTGAAAAACAGTGGCCACCCTGGGTGCCTCCTTCCCAGTGCCCTTGGTATTTAGAGGCTGAGGTATGCTGGAGGCTTCCCTACACAGTGGTCCAAGCTTACCTGCATCCCGCCAGGGGGGTCACCCTTCTCAAACTCTTGAATGGAGGCCTGCAGCAGGGATGAGGCCTGGCGAAGGTCGGTGAGGAATGGGCCCAGCTTCTGCAAGGACAGGCACCAGAGCGCAGGACTCAGCCTGGGTGACCAAGAGGAGAGATGTCTTTCCCCAGGAGGACATGGGAAGGCACCAAGCAGGGCTTCTAGAACTTACACTCCACCAGAACCGCCAGGCAAGCTGGAGAAAGTGGAGCTCTAGACAGCTCCCCCGGCCCTCTTTACTGCCACCTCTAGCCCACCCCAACCCACAGCTGAGCCAGTGCTCTGGGGCAGTCTGAGAACACCTACCAAGTCTGCAAGCCACAGTGCTGCTGCTGCAAGGTCAGGGGACCCTTTAATGTGGGGACAAGAGCCAGAGGAGAGAGAGGGGCCTGAGCTGTTCGAAGACCCTGGGGGTCCTCATAGAAGGGGCAGGATGGGGGTGAGAGGTGGGGTGGAGAAACACCCTTGGCCCAGCTCAGCCATCCACTAGCTGTGAGACCACAGGTAAGTTGCTTAGTGTCTCTGGGCTTCACTTTCCTTCTGAGTGGTGGAAATCACAATAGAACGTATTTCACAGTGGGGTGAGGGTTTGCTGGATTAATTTATGTACAGGATTTAGGATACAGCCTAGACCATGCCAGACTCAAGATCACTATTAGTTTTATACTCTGGATCTCCCAGTAAAATTTCACTTGAAGGGACAGCTTGAAAGTTGAAGTTCAAAGGTTACTGGGTTAATGGGAGGCATCTGGAGAGGGAACCTGGAGCAGGACATGCCACTGCCATGGGAGTGTCCTGTCGAACCATGCACACATCTTGGGGATTAGAAACTGGCTGAAAATGACTCAGTTACCTGATGCCAGGTAGACACTGCCTTGAAAGCTGTTTATTTTCAGACAAGCACGTCTGTAGGTAGTCCAATGGCATGCAATGCCTCCCTTCCCTACCCTGCTGATTATTTTTTGGGGGGTTCCAAGACAGGGCTTCTCTGTGTAGCTCTGGCTGTCCTGGAACCTGCTTTGCAGACCAGGCTGACCTAGAACTCATAGAGATCCATCTACCTCTGCCTCCCCAACAGTTGTCATTAAAAGCACGAGCCACCACTGCCTGGCTCTTTTGTTTGTTTATTTGGTGCTTACTTTTTGTTGGGAGAGAGGTGTGCGTGCCACAGTGCGTGTGGGAGCCAAAGGGTGTTCATGGAGTTCATTCTCTCCTCCCACTTTTACGTGGGTCCCACGTGGGTCCCACGGATGGAACGCAGGTCATCGGGTTTGCATGACAGACGCTTTTACTCACTGAGTCATCTCGCTGGCACTTTCTCTGGGTCTATTTGTTTGTTTTAGTTTCTTACAATAGGGTCTCATGTAGCCCAGGATGGCCCTGAGCTGGCTATGTAGCCAAGGATGACCTTAAACTCTGGATCCTTATGTCTCAGGTACTGGGACTGCAAGCCTAAATACTTTCATCCCAGTGTTGGTTGACTCCACAGCTACACTGCACTCAACACCAGACACCAGCAGGACTTGGGGCGCAGGCTTGTTACCCCAGAACTTGGGATGCAGGAGGCAGGAGGCTCTTGAGTTTAAGGCCAACTGGACTCCAAAGAATATATAGCTCTCTGGTCTGAGCTATGCTTCTAACCCTGTCTCAGAAAAACAAGTGCCAAGCCTGTAAGCTTGGGTACATCACCTGCCCAGCTCATGCAGGGCCCTGGGTTCCATATCCGAGTCACTGACAAGAAAAAGGAAAAGCGAACAAAACACTCCCACAAGGTCTCCTACATGAACAGCAGATGAACAGCAGATAACCACTATCACACAGCAGATAACCACTATCACTGTCAGTAGAGACAGGGTTTCTCCATGGGGGGGGGTAAACACTCCCACAAGGTCTCCTACATGAACAGCAGACAACCACTATCACACTGTCAGTAGAGACAGGCTTTCTCCATCCTACATGAACAGCAGACAACCATTATCACACTGTCAGTAGAGACAGAGTTTCTCCATGGAGGGGGGGTAAACACTCACACAAGGTCTCCTCCATGAACAGCAGACAACCACTATCACACTGTCAGTAGAGACAGGGTTTCTCCATGGGGGGGGTAAACACTCCCACAAGGTCTCCTCCATGAACAGCAGATAACCACTATCACACTGTCAGTAGAGACAGGCTTTCTCCATCCTACATGAACAGCAGACAACCATTATCACACTGTCAGTAGAGACAGGGTTTCTCCATGGAGGGGGAAGGGGGTAAACACTCACACAAGGTCTCCTCCATGAACAGCAGACAACCATTATCACACTGTCAGTAGAGACAGGGTTTCTCCATGGAGGGGGGGTAAACACTCACACAAGGTCTCCTCCATGAACAGCAGACAACCACTATCACACTGTCAGTAGAGACAGGGTTTCTCCATGGAGGGGGGGTAAACACTCCCACAAGGTCTCCTCCATGAACAGCAGACAACCACTATCACACTGTCAGTAGAGACAGGGTTTCTCCATGGAGGGGGGGTAAACACTCACACAAGGTCTCCTCCATGAACAGCAGACAACCACTATCACACTGTCAGTAGAGACAGGGTTTCTCCATGGAGGGGGGGGGTAAACACTCCCACAAGGTCTCCTACATGAACAGCAGACAACCACTATCACACTGACGGTAGAGACAGGCTTTCTCCATCCTACATGAACAGCAGACAACCATTATCACACTGTCAGTAGAGACAGGGTTTCTCCATGGAGGGGTGACCTTGACCCCCACCCTGGCTGGAAGCTGTCACACCTTGTAGGGAGAGTCAGTGGGCTGCCGGTCACACTGCAGTGCAAAAAGGAACCTTCAGGCCCTAGCTGAGAGATCCAGACTGGGCAGCTGGGTGGAGGAGCCCTGGGTATGTGTTCAGCACCTTCAAAATAGACTATTCCATGTGCTGCCCACCCCTCCCTCGTGGTTAAACCAGGCACAGAATACCTGCTTGTGGGGCTGGGGGAGGATGGGACGGAGCCAGGGTAGTTTCCTTCCCTGCCCTATAGGAGGCGATGCATGCTAACCTACCATATGTGACATGCCCATGGCTCCTCGGAGCAGACACAGTCAATTTACTTTCAGTTGGCAACAGCAAAGCTCTCTAAGTGTGCCAGGTAGCCTCTGCTAACATTAGTGCCATCCTCATAAGAATCCCACAACAAAGCAAGTTGAGTGCCCTCTCCATCCCCCATTTTGCTGATGAGGAAAGCAAGGCTCAGAGACTTACCCAAAGTCAGAGCAGAGCTGGACTGGAACCCAGAAAGCTGGCCCCAGAGCTCAAGGCCTTACTGGGACTACTCTGTACCTTCACTGTATATGTTTGCTGAATGACTGTCTGTTCTTGAACGCTGTTTTTGACAGAGTTGAGGGACCCATTGGGGCAGGCAGTGAAGGGAAGAGGAGAAGTCAGGGTTAGAGACTGAAGGCTTTAGGGTAGACACCTGGAAGAACTGCACCCACTCGCTGTGGTGGTAGGGGAACGGGCCCTCCAGAGCCTCAGGCAGCTGGGTAGGGTCCACATGGTTTCTGAGGGCCTTCAGCGAAGTCAGTACCTCCACCTGCAGATAAAAAGAGAGTCAGAGGGTGCAGAAGATTCTCCCCAGAGATGGTAGAAGGTCCTGCTTAGATCCCTGTGAAGCACCACATCTCCCACTGGGAAGGTCTGGAGTGGTGCTCTGAGCAGCAAGTCTGGTCTGGAAGCTTTGAGAAATCATTTGAACCAGACTGATTATGGAACGGCACATACAGGGCACACATACTGCTGCTTCCAAGTCTGCGTTCAAGGCAGACACCATCAATCGACTGCAGAACTCATCCTTCTGGAGCCTGGTTCTTTTTCAATACTGCTGCTGCCCAGGCCTCTACTCACCTGGACGGGCAGTGCAGGTGGCTGGAGAATGGAGGCCTTCTCTACCAGGAGGAGCACCTTACTGATGGAGGCTGGAGTCAGAGCCTGTAAGGAGAGAGCCTCTTCAGGGCTGCTCTGTCTCTTCTCCCCCTTGTCACCTCCTCCTTCTCCCTGGTGGGTCCCCCGGGTGGGAACTTTGTGTGGTGTGTTTAGAGTGAGCCACTAGCATCAAGAGAAAGCAAACCCAAGCTGTACTGCAAGGCTTCCTTGAGCCCTCAGTTTCCCCATCTACAAGACAAGAGGGCAGACGCTAGACAGCTAGGTAAGCGTACGCCAAACCTTCACCTGCTCCGTTGTACATACTGGCTAGTCAAGACTGTTCTCTGTCAGGGGGTTTACATGGCCCAAGGCCAGAGCCATGTATCCCCAGAACATGGGGCTTAGTCAATGTAAGCCAATCAACACTAATGATTCTCTGAGAAATTTTGGCTGGGACCTCTCCCACGGTGTCCCACGATGACTGTGATTTCCAAACTGCTGGGAGCCATACTGCCACCAAGTGGAATGAGGCCGCGAGACAGTGGCAGCCTTGTAGGAGGACCTGTGCAGAGGTAGAGACAGTGGCAGCCTTGTAGGAGGACCTGTGCAGAGGTAGAGACAGTGGCAGCCTTGTAGGAGGACCTGTGCAGAGGTAGAGACAGTGGCAGCCTTGTAGGAGGACCTGTGCAGAGGTAGAGACAGTGGCAGCCTTGTAGGAGGACCTGTGCAGAGGTAGAGACAGTGGCAGCCTTGTAGGAGGACCTGGGCAGAGGTAGAGATAGTGGGGCTCCCTGAGCCCTTGGATGGGGCCAGACGCACTGCGTGCTGCAACTCCTGGCTTTTAGAACAAGGGGCTGCCCTTATGACAGTGCTCACTCTTAAAAAGTCAGATCCTGAAGAGACCAGGCCACGCCTTCCTGAAGCCCTCTCCGGGTCAGATAGCTAAGAAGTGGTCTGTGACTTGATTTTCCTTTGTAGTTGGTGCCTGGCTCTTCCTCGCTCTCTGTCACGTACAGTGTATTGAGCTAAGTTGCGTGATGAAGAACTTCCCACTACCCCAAACTTCTAAAGGTCTGATGCTTCTCTTATTCCTGCGATTGTTAGCAGGATTAGTTCTGGGGGTCTCTGCGGAGACTCCTCTCTCTCTCTCTCTGTCTGTCTCTCTGTCTCTCTCTCTCTCTTTCTCCCTCACTCTCTTTCTTCCTCACTCTTCATGAAGCTCTTCCCTGGGTTCTAAAGGGAATTTCCCCCTTCTCTTTAAGGTCCCTGTCGTGTCTGTCTCTCCCATCATGCACCGGTTCTCTCTAAAGTTTTACCTCTCACCTAAAGGCCCCATGATACAATGCATTTTCTGAAGGGAGTCATTCACCAGCATCCCTTCCAGCACTCACGGCTACTACTTTTAAAGCTCTTTATGATACTGAGCCAGCCAACACCTTTTGCGAAGCCATAAGCCCACCAGGCTCTGGGCATGCCACAGTCCCCTGGGGACTCCCAAGACCAGCTAGACTAAGGCTCCCTACCTGGCACTCACCTGTGTGCTCTGCAGGGCACTGACCAGAGCAGGACTCAGGGGCCCTTTCCTGGCATCAATCACCACCAGTAGCCCGTTGACTTTATCGTCCAGCCTGGGGGTAGAAGACAGAAATCAGGTCCTGCAAGGCAGCCTGGGGCTCAGGAGGACCTGGTGGGAAGGTGAGGGAAACAGGTGAGCAGAAGTCTTCTTCACTCTGGAGACCAATGCCTCCTCCAGGAAGCACCCATGATTCCTCCTGCACAATCCACAGCCCCCCCCCTTCACCTCACAGGCCCCAGGTGATTCATCATCATGGTCACCACGTGGCTGCAGTCACCACCCTTTTGTGGTCAGGAACGTGGCTCAGAGGTTGTGTGTGAGCCTCACTGGGTTCCTTTCCCAGAGTTCCAAGCGAAAAATAAATGAAATGGAAAAAAATCTCCTGTCTATTTCTTTGTGTAGGCAGGACTCCCAGTTTGTTTGGGGTTCACCACCCCCACCTGTGGTTTTCTGAGCTGTAGAGCCCACACTAGTGACCCAAACTCCATGGCCAATGACTGGGCTAGGTGGAGTCATATGACATATCTTTCCCCAGTGAGATGAGGAAAGTTAACTGAATCTATTTTCTCCTTTAAGGAGTTGTTCAAAGGAGGGAGGGAGATGCTGGGAAGACAGAGACAAGCAGTTCAGAAGACTTCGAGAGATAACCAACCAAGTGAGACGCAGGAACCCCCTGCTTCGTATAATCACTATAACGCATACAGGGAAATGAAGAGTTCTGGCCTCAAGGCAGACAACCAGAAGCTATTCTGAACTTGAACTTACACCGCTTGCACCCAGAATGCCCCCTGCTCTTATCACCCAAGTGGGGAGGGTGGATGGGGCTGCTTCCCTATGTCAAATGGGAGATCCCTCTCTGGGTGGGGACACTGACACAGACTAGCCAGGCAGCAGACTGTGTGAGGAGCTGACATCATGTATTCCCTTCATCCCAGTGGCTTGTGACCCTACCCGGGCTCCCTGGTCATTCAAGGGCGCAGGGTGAGCCGCCGAGGGGGAAAGTCATCGCCACAAGGTCACAGAGCAAAGAGGATGGGGAGATGTTCCAGGGCTCTCTCTGTCTACCACAGGGCCGCTTCTCAGAGACGGTGGCCATTTTCCACCTGCAGAAAAATCTGCCGTCTGGTGGCCTGCAGTGGACCTGTGACCTGCAGGGGACAGGGAACTCTGGGAAGAGGGTGGCAAGGAAGGTTCCAAGGAACTTCATGGCCCCCTTACCTCTCCCTAGATGCTGAACCTCCAATTGGCTGGGATTCTACAGCTCCAGAGTAAGGAAATGCCACTTTTGCATGTCCTACTAGGAGCCTGTGTCTCAGAAGCCAGACAGGCCTCTCCCCAACCATGAAGGCTGAACTGTAGGCTGAGGGGGTAGGAGTGGGAGAGGCCAGGGGCTGAGAATCAGCCTGGGCCATGCATCACCCATGCTTATCCTTGAGTGTTTATGTGTGCACAGGTGCTTGAATGTAGGAGTGCTGAGACCAGAGGACAACCTTGGGTATCCTCGGGGCCTGTCCACCTTTCTCACTGAAACAGGGTCTCTCATTGGCTGGAACATGCTAGTTAGGCTACTCTGTCTGGCCTCCAAATGGCTACTCTCTCTGTACCTCCAGATGCGCCCCACCACGCACGTGGCCGGGGTTTCTTGAGTTAGAGCTCAGGTGGCCTTGCTTACAAGGCAAATGCTCTGCTGACTGAGCTGTGGCCCCAAACCCTGTTCTTTAAGCCTCTCGTTCACCCACTCACTCGCTCTCTCCTTGTCTCTTATTTACTCAACAGCATTTCTATCTAAGATGCCACCGCCCCGGAGAAACCTTCCCTGGCTTCCCGGCTGAAACGAACCATCTCGGCTTTTCTGCACTACAACAGTGCTTCTCGAAGGTCAGTCTCCCACTCAGCCACACCGGAGTCGCCAGGCGCCTTACCAGAAATGCAGATTCTCAGGCCCACTGAGTGAGACGTGCTGGGGACGAGCTGAGCGAACGCCTTCAACAGCTCGTCTAGCCATTCTATGACTCGGGTGCACTGTCAGGCCACAGCGGTGGGTTCCCGCTGCATGTCTGTGGGATGTTCCATGCACGCTTTCCCTCTCTCCCACCAACCCAGGAGGGCCCCGGCTGAAGGGACAGAGCCCGTCTGTCACCCAACTCCCAGCTGTGGCTGGCTCTGTGAACACCTGGCGGATGGAAGGACCTGGGGCCTCTTCACTACACACCTGGCTGAGGAGTCACGGTATGATAACGTCCCCTTACCTAGGAACACTGCATAAGTAGGACAGCAACTCCGTGACCTCCAAAGCAGTACACCACGGTACCTTCCAGGCCTCGTGCATGGTCGACACCAGAAGCAGAGGCCGCCCCACTCTGTCCCTACCACCTGAAGGAGAGAAGACACAAGAGCAATGACAATTCTGGGGGACCCTCCATGGGAGCCTCCTCTGTGACTCTCCAAGCCTTTGCCTCCACTGATCTTTCTGCCTGGAATGCCCTTTCTTCTCTTCCTTCTGTGACTCCCAAACTCCTATTCATCCTCCAAAGGCCCAGCTTCAAAGCCTTCTGGAGAAAAGTCTCTCTGAATTCTTCTCCAGCACAGTTAGCTCACTATGCGGGGTTGTCCCTGTACGGTACATGCTCCATACTGTAGTGTGTGCACCCCAGGAAGTACAGCTGGTGCGGTGAGCTCCGGGGTCACACAAACACATTCACATCCTGACCTGCTGTGTGTCCCTGTAAGTCTATGCTTCTCCGAGCTTTAATTTCATCTATCTGATGAGACAGACAGATGGCAAATTCAGTTCTGGGTAGGTGAGGTTTCTTTGGGGACTAAGGGCCTCAGTTCCGGAGAGTGTCCAGCGCTCGACCAGGAGCAGTGAGTACATTCGTGGCAACTGGACTCTGTCACCATCTCACACAGGCTACAGCAGGCTGGGCTTGTGATTTCTTCTCCAGCTGTTTACTCTTGACCGACCATTTCCTCTTCTAGGAAGGGGGGGCATGTGTCTTACTGTCATCCCCCAGGGCTCATGGCCCAGGAAGTCAGCCTAGCTGGCAGGACCTTCCTTCATCCAGCTCTGTTTGTCTGGTGTGCCCCACCCTCCTGTCTCCAGCTATTGAGATCCTCTCTGTCCGATGCTCTGACCAAGGCATCACTTCCATATTCCCCAGCCCGGGGTCCTGCAGGAAGCTGCCCCGGCAACTCCACCGCCTCCTGGGATTGGCTCAGGACAGCATCAGAGCATGGATGGATGCCTGAGGAGGTGGCCAGCACATGGATGTTAGAGCAAGGCAGCCCAAACCTGTAAGCCTGGGAGTTTGCAGAGTGAGACGGAACCAGTGCCGCAGCTTGCGTCTTCTCCCTGGCTCCCAAGCAGTACAGATGGAGCCAGTCCCTGGGACCAAGTTCAAAAGGGTCAGATGCTCGGTGCCCTGGGACACGGCAACCATGTGACCAGAGCCTGGCTCTGCCTGCCCACCAAAAGCTGCCTGGGTCAGGAACAGGGCAACAGGCAGCATCCACACAGGAGGCATTCTTGTCCACCTGATTTGCTCTTCATTGGAGCAAGGAGCTCTCTGTGTCCCAAACACTGCCCTTGCCTGGTGGGCAGTGCCAGAAACACCATCTCTAGCCCCCAAAAAACTTTCTGCTAGGGGCATGCTGGGTGACCCATGTCACAAGGAGATAGGAACATCAGGTGGGAGGGCAGGAGGCTCCTATAGCTACTGGAAAATTCAACAAAGCATCAGCAGATGACTGGGACACCTGCAGATGGCGCCTCAGGGATCCGCAGGGATCTGGGACCGGGGAGATGTGGAGTCCGAGATAGCAGGGTGGCAGGACAGTGAGTCCCCAAGGCATCAGGGTCCTTACTGCTCCTGGCCTTTGCATTGCTGTTTCCTGTTTCTGAAATGCTGCTCCCAACATTTCAGAGGTTAACCCCTAAGCTTTCCTGGTTTGTCTTACTGGAAGCCTGGGCCAGGGGCACTATCTGTTTTCCCATTTTCTAGACACTTTCCTTGACGTTTCTCTGATGCTAAAATAAAGTAGTGTGGGTGCAGGAGCCACGTAGACTCATTTCCTAACAATCCACAGTGCTGTGTCTAGGGCTGGGGAAACAGTTAAAGAAAAGCTAGGAATCTAGAGTAAGACACTCACAGCATGGAAGCTGTCAATGTCTGGTCCAAAGCCTCTTGGTGGGTGTGGCACTTGCTTGTTCACCAGAGGCCGGAAGAACTATTAACAGAGGCTTATAGATGCTTCCTTCCCTGAAGAATTGCCCTTAGCTGTACTAGCTTATTGGCTCACCCCACAACCCATTCCAGGATCAGCCTGCCGTTAGTAATGACTGACACACCCAGGATCAGCCTGCAGCTAATGTCTAACAGGCCCAGATGTTAAATACTGACCCCACGCCTGAGCCAGCCAGCTGGTATAACCCATACCTCCCCGGGGCCTGGCACCACCCTGCTTGTCCCTTCCTCTGCTTTGCTCTGTCCCATTCTCATGGGGCTTTCCCAAGAATCTTTGTCTCAAGCTCAGCTTTGAGGAAGCCTGAAACACACCTTGGCTTCCTCATTGAAGTCTGGATGAATGGATGGATAGATGATTGGATGGGTGGACAGATGGGTGGATGGATACCTAGGAATGGCTTTCCTCTAATCCAAGCCTTTTGCTGGAAACGTTGCAGCCTACTGGGCCTTCCCCCTCTTCACCCACCCGCAGCTGAGTATGCTCTGCCCCCTCCACTCTCCCCTGAACCCCAGAACCTGGCACGCAGGCTATCCTGGAGTGGAGAAGCTTGACTCCCAGAGTCCCAATCCTGGAACACTCCTCCAGGCTAAGTCCTCCTCCTGAGGGACCTGAAGAATCTTTCCGGAAGCCAGTCAGCTCCCCAGACAGTGGGGCTGAGCCAGATGTTCTGGGGAGAGCTGTTCCATCTGGGGAAAAACAACAAAGCCAGGGCTGTCAGACAGGAGGAGACTTTCCCAGGGACAGTGTTTTGTCTTCCACCCAAACGATAATACAGCTTGTAGCATGATCTGCTCTCTTCCAGGTGATGCTAAGTCCCTTCTTTCTGGTTTGTCTTTGAACCATCAGAGCAACTCTGTGATGTAAAAGACACCGCCACCCACCCTCCAGCAGAGAAGGAGGTCTGAACTCAGAGAGGTTAAGTGTCTGGCCAAGGTCACACTGCATGAGGTTAAGCTGGAACATAAACCCAAACAGACCTAATGAATAGCCTTGCTCAGTTCTACACTGGGGAGACCTCCTTAGCCCCCTGAGACTGTGACAACCATATGGCCCCTGTTTCTCATGGCCAGAGCCTCCTCCACCAGATAAGTCAGGTTCTTGCCCTGCTGAGTGTGGGCTCTTACCTTTCCCTGGGGCCTTGGTTCCACAAGGCTGCAGAGAATTGAGGGGGTTCAGGGCCTTCTTGACATGCTGGAGTAGGACTTTCTCTGGGGGCAAGAGGGGTGCCCTCTGACATTTCAAGAAGGAGAACTGGAGCCCAGGAGCCAGGGACCCACAAACGGAGGTGTTCCTACAGAAAAAAGCCTCGGGCTTGGAAGCTCTGTTGTGTTCTGGTGTGGTCTCCTCTGTCTTTGTCTCGGAAGCTAGGGCTGCAGGGGCAGCTGAGGACAGGAGCAGAGAGAATGTTTGTCTTGGCCCAGGCCTGAGCTGGACCATGGCTGATGGCGTTCCCAAAGTCCTTTGCATCTTAGAGACTGCTAGCTTACCTTCAGTATCTTCTCCCAGGCCAGAGGTACAGTTCAGCGGCTTCTGCAGGGCACCAGTGTGGGCAGATGCTTTGTGTCTAGACTTTCTTCTTGAGTTCCTGCTGCTGGGTGTCTCTCCTGAATCTGCTGGCTTCATGCATGCCAGTCTTCCCAAGGGAGGTCCCTCATCAGGCCCTGGGGGATGTAGAACCCTTCCAAGCAGAGGTGCCTCCCTAGTTCTGGGTATAGGTACCCCCTTAGTTCTGGATATCTCCTCCTGTGATCCCTGAGTGTCCACACTGAGTGTTGCGACCTCCCTGTCTGGAGACCCCATTCTACACTGTTGGGGAAAGCCCAGGAGAGCCACATAGTCCCCCTCCAGGCCCTGGTTGGCCTCACTGTCCATCCTAAAGGGCATCTGCCCTGGCCTTGCTGGTGCCACCTTGATGAGCCCAGGATACTTGTCTCTAGACAACTTCCCTTTATCCTTAGCCCAGCCCTGGGCCGCAGACCCCTCGCTACCCAGAGAGCTGGCCTGGTATGGCTCCTGGAAGCTGCCCAGATGGAGGGCCTCTAGTGGACAGGAGTCCCCATCTGAGGAAGGGACATTCACTACTGGAGGTTTGTCATCTATAAACTCTGGACTGGTAATCCTGGTCCAAGGCACAGATGTGATCCCATTTTCTGAAGCCACCAGACAGTTGTGTAAGGGACGTCCCTCAAAGTCACTGTTAATAGCTTCCAGCCATTCTGGGGTGAAAATCAGAGAATAGGAGGTCTCAGGAATAGACTTGTTGTCCACCTTGCGGAGGTCTGAGGAGAGATATTTGAGTGTCATGTGGACAGACTGCTCCTCCTGGGACTCCACTTGAAGGTAGAAGTCGCCCTGACGCAGCAGGAGTGGGTTGAGGGGTGCCAGGTGGACCACAACCTCATCCCGAAGACACAGTGGCCAGCCCTCATGCAGGAAGAGGCAGTGGGTATAGAGAGCCTGCAGAGAGAAGGCGACGTCAGAGGCACAGGCTCCAGGCTCCCTTCCCTTTCCCACATGGGACCTCAAACATCCAGGGAATAGGCAAAGGCAAGAGAGATGCCCAGAGCCAGGTACTGGGGAGGCCTTTGCTGTCAGGGTATGTGGGACCACTTGTTCCTACCCTTGGCATTGGCTTTGAAGATGCTTGCCAGCCTCCTGGCCTGAAGAAAAGTCTGGTGCTCCAGGTACATTAGTTAATCAGCAGGTACCTTCCATGGCAACCCTGCTTGGCTCATGACCCTCTCCTCCCCATCTACCCCAAACTTCTCCTAACCCAGCTGGAGCCGTATCCTCCCCTCCCTTTAAAGCCAGGAAGGCAAGTATCAGAGGTCTAAATGGGTTGTTTATACACATTACTGTTCTGCTCTGAGATCTGAGTTCTTTATGTGCAAATTGGAGTTACATAAATAAAATACAGCAGTATTCCTAGGCTGACATGAGATAGATTGAGTATGGGTGCTGTGGTAGTTTGAATGTATTGGCCCCCATACGCTCAGAGGGAGTGGCGCTATTAGGAAGTGTGGCATTGTTGGAGGAAGTGTGGTCTTATTGGAGAAGGCTTGGATGACACATGTGTCTAATCCCAGGCCTTGAGGCTGGAGGGCACACCTTTAATCCGGGTCACACTTTCTATTGGGAGTGTGTCATTGTGGGGGCTTTGAGGTCTTTTTCTCAAGGTTCACTCAAGGTGACAGTCAGTCGACTTCCTGTTGTCTCTGAGTCAAGATGTAAGGACTCTATTTAGTTCTGTACCCCACTTTTTAATTGGATCCTTTGGTGTTTTGGAGACTTGCTTCTTGAGTTCTTTGTAAATTTTGGAGATCAGCCCTCTGTCAGATATGGGGTTAGTGAATATCTTTTCCCATCCTGTGAGCTGCCTTTTTGTCTTGTTGACTGTGTCCTTTGCCTTACAGAAGCTTCTTAGGAGGTCCCATTTGTTAATTGTCGATGTCAGTGTCTGTGCTACTGGTATTATGTTCAGGAAGTGGTCTCCTGTACCAATTCGTTGAGGAGTATCTCCCACTTTCTCTTCTAAGAGTTTCAGTGTGGTTGGATTTATGTTGAGGTCTTCGATCCTTTTGGACTTAAGTTTTGTTTGATCATAAATGGACTGAACCCAGTATCCTCAATAAAAACCCAAACTAAGACAGATGCAAAAAAAAAAAAAAACACAATGCTTGGGAAGTGTTCAGAGAAACTGAATTCACTCCTTTTTAAAATACCTGCCCTTTGAAAAAGAGTGTGTGGATGTGTGTGCATAGCAGGCCGTGCCCATGTCAGGGAAAAACTTAGTGGCCAGGGTTTGGTCCCTCCATCTTTACATGGGTTTCAGGCATCAAATTCAAGTCACCAGGCTTGTGTCGCAAGAGCTTTTAACAACTGAGTCACCTCCTCAGTCCCAAGTCGAACTGTTAAAATGACACAGAAACAGTTTTGAATGGAAAGTCAGGAGACTTGACCCTGCCACAGTCTTGCCAGATGACCCTAAAAAGGCCACCACCATTTTTACATTCTGTCATCATAGTCTCTTTCTCTTAGCCATGGGAGTCGGGGTGGTGATGCTGCTTCTCAAAGAGGTAACATGAGTGATCAAGTCTTGGTTTGAAACAGAGAACCTGACCTCAAAGGACCTACTGTGAGTCCCTCTTTGCTCCTGTCTGAGGTGACATGAATTTATCCATGACAGTCAAATCAAATGTGCCTATAATTAAAAATAAAGGCTGTGAATTCGCCATGGAGAAAGAGGAGGACAGGGCAAGTGGTTTTGACTTTCTTTTCTTTCTTTTAAGACAGGGTCTCATGAAGCACAGGCTGGCTTAGATTTCACCATGTAGTTGAAGATGACTTGAATGTCTCATCCAACTGCTTCTTCCTACCTGCTGAGGGCTGGCATCACAGGGCAAGCATCATCATGCCATTTATGTGAATGGATCCAAGCCCAGGGGTTTGTGCATATTCAGCAAGCACTCTACCAACTGGGCTACATTTCCAGCCCTGCAAATGTGTTTTGAGCAGCCAAACAAAGTGACAGTTGTGTGGCTTGTCAGAAAGAGGAAAAAAGAGGTGGGGAGGAGGATCTTCATGAAACAAAGTTAGGGGGTCATGGCGAGGCCAGCGGCAAAGGCTCTGGGAGACACTGCATTCTACTGTTCCGGTCCAGGACCAGTTGACATGGTGGCTTTCCCACCTGGTGCTGTGGGTCCTAAGATAGGCTGTGTGGCTCTTGATGCCGGGTGGCAGTAGTTTCAGGGTAACTAAAAGTAGCTCAGGGGCATTGGCAAATCCCTGAGGGAGGAGGGTGGAGGGAATCAGAACTTTGACTCATTGGTGATCTCTCCATTGTTTTCCTAAAGCAGGAGAGAGAGAGAGAGAGAGAGAGAGAGAGAGAGAGAGAGAGAGAGAGAGAGAGAGAGAGAGAGAGAGAGAGAGAGAGAGAGAGAACCACAATACCCAACTCCTCTGGTCAACAGCCCATCCATGGACATATGACCACAATCTGGCCAATCAAGATCCTTCCTGAGAGCTGCTGTGGATGCTGGCCAACTGGGAGAAGCAGGAAGCAGCGTGTGTCTTCCAGTGGGTTGACTGGGTAAACTCATGGCCTGAGTGGGGGCTAAGTTGTTTTCCTCTATTGCCTGAAACACTTTCCTTTCCACTTCACCCAAGGAGTTGCCTCCCTGAAATCTCAAGAGGTTTTCAGGGATAAAAGTGAGAGTGTCTTCAGGAAAGCTCTGGAACATTCTCTGTTGCCTCTGTGAAAGCAACCTCACCAGGGCCAGAACCAGATGGTACCAACACCCAGGCAGGTCCCCAGGGCCAGGTTCTTGCACATCTGTATTTCCTCCCTGATGATAGAATATAAATGTCATTGGCCCCTAGTGTAAGAGGGCCATGAGTCAGGTAACCCTCTTTCTCTATGGACAGGTGGCATTTCCCTTTGGATAAGCAGTGGTTCTTGGGAAGCCTCCCCTCAGTCACCATATTTCTTGTTGGGGAGACACACCTTGCCCACCTCCTCCATTCCCAATTCCAGTCCTCTGACCTTCTGGGAGAGTTTGTATGGCAGCCACAAGATGTCCCCAACTTACACAGGCTGCTTCCCGCACTTGCTCACACAGGCGCTTGGCAGGGATGAGGAAATCCAGGAGGAAGCTCAGCCCATCTCCCCGGAAGTCGGAGTCCAGTAGCCGGAACACTTGGCCCAGGACAGTAGGGGCAGTGGCTTCAAAAGGTGGATAGAGGCCTGCCAGGGCATGCTGGATGGCCATGTCAAGGGCTGAAGGGTCCTGCTGGGAACAACAGGGAGGGAGAGCAGTTATAGTAGCAGTGAGGATAGGAGCGGTGACCACTCCTATGACCTCCAGGACTCCTGTGAGTGAGGCCTTACTGACTCCAATGGCCAGGGCTACACCCTCACTTCACTCCAGCCTAACCTAGGAACTTCTCAACCCTGTATGTACTTCCCCGACTTCCCCACCTTTATCCAGTGATAGCCCCACAACCCGGCCAGATTCTGTTGTGGGAATTCATCCCATCTGGCTAGCTCAGTCGGTAGAACATGAGACTCTTAATCTCAGGGTTGTGGGTTTGTGCCCCATATTGGGTGTCAGATGGTACATGAACTCACAGAGATAATAAAAACCGATTTATTAAGGGTGCTATGGAAATACAGAACAAAGCAGAAGCTGCCATTGATCCAGCCACCGCTGACTCCATGCAGCCTCTCCACCAATTGGTGTCCAACCATGCTGAGCCCAAGCCCAAGCAAGCGAGCACGATCCTGCTTCCTCTCAGGGTTATCCGTCCCTCACATAGCATCCCAGATCATGCCCTAAGGCCGGTACCCCAAAGCTATGGGCGGAATGAATTCCCACAACAAGACTCCAAGGCAGCATTCCTTCTGCGGCTGTCTTCCTGATCCCCCACCCCCAACAGCCTTCAGCCATGCCACAATGACCCCCTCCCTTTCTAGCTCACCCACCTATGATGCCTTCCCTGCCAAGTTCTTGCATCAATTTCATGCAACCTCTTTCTCTGCCTTTAGTCTTCCGAACTCCTCCACCAGGACCCCAGATCAGCCTTTCTCAAACACATCAGGCCCCTGCTCAACATCCCTCAAGGGCTCCCCCTTTGCTTGACGCCAGCCTCCATCAGCCCCACTGCCTCTGTCTATGCCTCCGCCATAGGAGGGGGAATCTTACCTCCAACCTTTGTCAGTGCTGTCCCTTCCTCTCAAACACCTGCCTGCCTGCCTCTTTCCCTCTCACCTCATCTGGAAACTCCTTCTTCCTTTAACTCAAGACTCAGGCCAGCCCTTGCCTGCACTCTGGCTTCACCTCTGCCTCTCTCCAGAGAGATGTCCCCTCCTCTGGCACCCTCTCAGAGAAGTTCCCACACTGACTTCTGGCCCCCAAATGGCAAGTGGGGGTGGAAAGGACAGTCCCCAAAGGTGCCCACATTCAAATCTCCACAGCCTGTGAATACAGGCAAAGAGGAACAGAAGGCAAGAAAGCAGGGACTCTGAGGCAGGGGAGAAGGCATGGCTTGCTCTCCACCAGATTCCAAAGCCAGAGGCCCTGGTCCTTCCCATTTGTAGTCTCCCCAGAGCAGAACACCCCTAATGCTGGCAGAATTAGCAAACGAGAGAAAGAACTCATGCTTATAGTTGCACTCTGCTGGAGAATGGGTCACAATGCTGGCACCCTGTGAGCTGTGGCGTGGGAATGGGCTGGGGGAAGGATCCTTGGTGTGGTAGAACAGGGAGGGGTTCACTGCTGGCCTTACTAGTGGCCCCAGTCTCACCCACCAGCCACCCCCTGTTCCCACTGCCATAGTCCGAGTGAGAATGACTACTTGTCCCCAGTTGGTGGAACTGTTTGGGAAGGATTAGGAGGTGTGGCCTTGTTGGAGGAGGTGTGACACTGGAGATGGAGTTTGAGGTTTCAATGGCTAAAGCCATTCCCAGTTAGCATACTCTGCCTTGTGCTTGTAGATAAGATGCAAACTAACTCTCAGCTCCAGATCCATTCCTTCCTGCCTGATGGCCATAGACTCTAATCCTCTGGAACTGTAAGTCTCAAATAAACCCTTTCTTTATGAGTTTCCTTCATCGTGGCATCTTTACAACAATAGAAAAGTAGCTATGACTCCCACCAACCTGGGGACAGTGGGAGAAAGATCACAAATGCCATCCAAGGACCCAAACACAGTGAGTCTGCTGGGCTGCATACTTTCATGCCTTCTCCACCCTGTCCATGCTGGGACACCAGCTTACATGGCTTCTGCCTCCTTCTGAGGCCTTGACTAGGGACCTGCTCTGTCTGGGCCTCATCATTAGCTGTGCTGCTGGCTTCGTTTTTGGAAATGCAATTACTCATGATATTCAGCATCTGTACTATGAAAGCTGTTGTTCTGTTTTTCACGTTGTGGTGGTTTGAGAGACAATGGCCCCCAAAAGGAGTGTCACTATTAGGAGGTGTGGCCTTATTGAAAGAAGTGTGTCATTGTGGGGGCGGGCTTTGAGGTCTTTTTCTCAAGCTTCACTCAGGGTGACAGTAGTTGACTTCCTGTTGCCTCTGAGTCGAGATGTAAAGCTGTCTCCACTCCAGCACCACATCTGCCTGCATGCCACCATGCCCTCCTTCATGATCATAACTGGACTGAACCTCTGAACTGTGAGTCACCTCAGTTTTTATTTTGCATATAAGAGTTGCTGTGGTCATAGTATCTCTTCACAGCAATGGTAAATCCTAACTAAGACACATATATACCCACTCTGCATAAAGGTACTTTGCTAGTTAAGCTTTCTTTCTTTTTTGGTTTTTTGAGAAGGTTTCTCTGTGTAGCTTGGAACTTGTCCTAGAACTTGCTCTGAAGACCAGGCTGGCCTCAAACTCAAAGAGATCCACATGCCTCTGCCTCTTGAGTGCTGGGATTAAAGGTGTGTGTCAACACTCACGCCCAGGCTTAGTTAGGGTTTCTGCTGCTGTGAAGAGACGCCATGACCATGGCAACTCCTATAAAGGAACACATTTAACTGGGGCTGGCTTACAGTTCAGAGGTTTAGTTCATTATCATCATAGTGGAATATAATGGCAATGTAGGCAGACACGGTGCTGGAGAAAGAGGTGAGAGTTCTACATCTTGATCTATAAGCAGCAGGGAGAGACTGCCACACTGGGCCTGGCTTGAACATATACAAGACCTCAAAGTCCACCTCCACAGTGACACACTTCCTCCAACAAGACCACACTTGCTACAACAAAGCCACACCTCCTAATGGTGTCACTCCCTATGGGCCAAGCATTCAAACACATTAGTCTTTGGGGCCATTTCTATTCAAACAATAACAGGTACATAATTGTGTTCCTATCTCAAAAGTGTGTGTGTGTGTGTGTGTGTGTGTGAGAGAGAGAGAGAGAGAGAGAGAGAAAGAGACCCTACACTCACAGTCTCTTGCTCAGTGTCACATACAATGACGCTACTGCTAAGCCTGTGCACTCCATCTTGCTGGTAAAGAGTTGGAGTCAAGCTTGCCCAGAGTCTTAGGGAGAAGAAGAAAGACAGAGTGTGAATCCAACCCAGACCCAAGGCGGTGAAAACAGCTCGTTCCCTGCCCAGCCTCCAGCCACTGGCTCCCTGCTTAGTCTGGGATCCACTCCTTTCATGGTGGTCTGTCTTGGATTCTGGTGGTGCCTAAAGAAACCACAAGAAGGAAGGCAAAGCTTGCTCACTGAGCCTCCGTTGGATTGCACAGGCTGCTTCCACTTGCCATACACGTTAGCCATCTTCAGATGTGGCTGGACAGTGGGAAATTTCGACAAGTGGACAGGCTACACTCTTGGTGGCTCATTCCCTAACACAGGCTTGACTCCTGGGACTCAGAACTGTCCAAGAATTCAGGAAGAACACAGTGGAATGGCCCCCGAGGCTGCAAGGAGGAATGCTGGCCTCTTGCCATCACAAATGAACTGAGCAGCCCAGTCCTGGACCACAGGAGTCCAAGTGCTGCTGCCAGGCTCTAAATGATCGCTGTGAAACTTGATAGACAGGTTTCCATTCCTTCCCAGTAAGGCAGCCCAGCCAGCAGTCTATTGCTCCTCACAGGAGCCTGGCATAGATGGGTGCTGAAAAGGAGGGAGGCAGGACCAGCTCTCTTTGCAACAGAGAAAGAGCCCAGCACACCAGCCAGGGATGGATATATGAAACGAAGCCCTCATTTTCTTTTTGAAGAGCTGGTGGAACCCAGGGTCTGTGCGTGCCAATGAGAGTTACAACCACAGCCCCTGACCTTCACCACTGAGCCATGCCTCCAAACCTGGGTCTTTTAGGATAGGATCTCACCAGAAGCTAAGACTAATCTCAAACTCACTATGTAGCTCAGGCTGGTCTCCAATTCCTACCTCTGCGTTCTAAGTGCAGGGATCGCAGGTGTGCACACTGATGTGACCTGTACGCATATATCAGAGCATCTTTGCAGTGAGTGAACTGTTGTCATCCCAAATGTGAATTTTATCAAGCAAAGTCAGCAAATACAAAGTACGCAGATGAATATGTTTTTACCTAGGCACTGATCCTTACAACCATTACCCAGCTCAATATACAGGAGTTCTGTCACCCCCACAAAGAGACTCTCTCTTAGTCAACAGCTTCATTTCTAAAACTAAGCTTGATTGCAAATGCTTTTAAGGAAAATTTTCCATATGGTATGGCCCCAGAATGGGACTAGGTCCAAACAAAGCCCAAGCGGGCATTAAGCAAAGTTGCCCTGGAGGCATCGAGGGGCAGGGGCCTCACAAAGTGGTCTTTTAATTTTCTTCTGAGCTTGCTATATTTTCCAAACATTCTGGAAACAGTGAGTGTAGCTTTCATAACCAGGGGGAAAACATAAAAGTGTGATCATGTGTGTTTAAGGCTGGCTCCGTTTTTAAATGGTCTCGCCAGATGTTGTTAGCTGTTCTTCTGAGATGTGGGCTGGGCTGTCTTAAAGGTCCAGATCTTCCCACTGACTCCTCGGGACCAAGATTTGGCAGGGCTGCTTCCTCCTCCTCCTCCTCCTGGGAAGGGAAAGGAGTAGGAAGGGCTGGTGTGGGCAGGGTCCTAAGTTGAGCCACAGCTCGGGTGTGGGGAGCACTTGCCCGCTGTGTACAGACCTCGGTTCCATCTCCCACCACAAGTGAAGGAGAAGGAAAAAGCTAAGAAAGGTGAAACATTGACTATGCCATGCCAGGTGACTTGGGCCACAGTTTCCCCGCTTGTAAAAGCCAGAGTGCTCCGACCTCCTCAGAGACTTTCCTTTGTGCAGCTGACAATTGTCAAGGTAGGAATTCACAACTGCTCAAAGTGCAGAGAACAAGTGTCTGTGGTGTGCTCGGCCACACACGGACATCCACGTCACACCTGTTCTGCAAGGGTCAGACCATCGCGGAAGATGAGGAGGAAATATTTTAAGGGCCAGAGGTTGGAGATGACCAGCTGGTTTTAGGGTCTCAGCCTAGGCAAGTTCCAGGAGCATCCCCAGAACTGCTGGGAAAAACAGTGTCTCCTGGACATGACAGAATTGCCACACTCAGAGCAGCTGCGGTTGCCTGCACAAGACCTGTACAAGATCAAGCCAGTCAACATTCTGAGTTGGGGGGAGAGACTCATGAGTCTTCCCCGTCCCCTGCTGAGGGGAACTATTGACAGTTGATGACTTCTGCAGGAGGTGGAGTTTTCTTTGAGGAGGCAGCCCCTGGTAGAGTGATCAATCTCCAGTGGATGGCCCCACACCCGTGAGCATACGGGCAGCCCAAATTGGACTCCATGGGTTATAAAACAAACAAACATAGGATACAGAATTGGGGGTGGGGTGGGAGGTAGGGGGTGGGCTTGGGAAAGTGAAGGTGAATATGATCAGAACACACTGTATACTTGCATGAAATTCTCAAAGAATTTTTAAAAAGCACTGGGCATATCTATTCTAGGATTCTTCTAGAATTCTCCATATGATTTTGTTCAGGAGGTTGTGGATTAAGGATGTGGTTTCTAAATGGACTAGTTGTCAGTTGCTGGGTAAGTTTCAAAGGTCCAACCTCATCCCATGTCCCTGCTCCTGCTGGGGACAGTCTACTGAGAGGGTTTGCGGGTGATATGAAAACCAGAAGCAGATGAATGTGAAAAAGCCCACCCACAGACCCTGGCTGAACACCCCTGACCATCCACTTCAGAGGAGCAGTGGACCTGAGACACAGGGTGAAGCGTCGCTGAGGCCCCGCCTAGGATGATCTACTGAGAACTCAGTGGTCTCCCAGCGTTTTGAAGGTTGGCCAAAGCAAGCACAGCTGTGAGCCAGCTGCTGCCCAGCAGGTGTCTGGCTGCCATCTTCAGTTCCCGGGACACTCCTGAACTTGTCTAGGCTGAGGTCCCAAAGTCAGTTTCCTGGCTGCTAGGAAGTTCCTGCTCCCATCCAACTCAAATTGCTTGCGCTTTTGGTCTGTGTGTGGGTGGATGGAGGCTGGGGTGAGACTTCAGCTCTTTATAAACCAGCTTTCAAATCAGCTCTTTGTAAACAAACTTTCAAAACTGGAAGAACAGCCCAGCTACAGTGAACCAGGACAGGAGTGGGTGTCAAAAGAGCTACATTCAAGTCCAGCTCAGTCATGTGGCATCCAGCAAATTATTTCTTCTTCTCTGAACCCTCCCTAGTCTTATGTGTGTCCCTGTCTCTCTCCTGGGACTCTAATCTGGGACACATCTTCACACTCAAACCAGAAGGTGACAAAGTTGATTCCTAGGGCTGCCTCTGAGTTGCCCTGAACAAGCCTTCAGGGTGTGGCCTGCGCTAAGTCCATTCCATGTGTGATTTTACGTGATTGCCCTGATAATTCTGTGGACTGGGTATGGTATCCCCATTTTACAGGTTAATAAGCAGAGGCTCATGCTGTCCTTCTGGTCAGAGAACAGAACCTTCTCCTGAGGCTCCCTGGAGACTCCCTGTAGGCACAGATCTCCAGTTGTGGCCCTCAATAGCATCACATGGTTCCCTATGCCCCAGCAGCTGGTCGTCTAATGCTTAGGGCTCCCATTCTACCTTCCCTGCTTCCTAAATGGATTCTGCTCTAGCCAGGGCTGCCCTTCATCCATTTGCCCCACGAGTAAGGTTTTCTTGCTATGTTCACATTACCTGGATTTGTTATTTGCTTAATATTTATTCTTCATTATTTAATGTTTGGTTTTCCTCCCCATCCATTTTCAGAATAAATTTGCTTTATTTATCGTCATGTGTTTGTGCCATTAAATCATTTCCATAAAAATTTCCTCCAAGTGCCACCTCATTTACCTATGGCATCCCTTCCCGGGCATCTGTCTTCTCTGCTCACACTGCACCCTCTCAGCTCTCACTGTACCACTCCTAACCACCCTGCAGAGTCCTGACAGAACACCACCTCTGGGTTTCCATAGCACCTGTGCTTACAGGCAAGAAATACAGACTCGGCTTGGGCTCGCCTACTTGCTCTCTAAGTATGAGAAAGAGTTGCAGGTAGAAGGCCAGCCCACGCAACCTAGTGAGATCCGGTCTCCAAACAAAGGAAGTAAAAAGAGGGCTGGAGACGTGGCTTAGCGGTAGAGCAATTGCTTAACATGCATGAGGCCCTAGGTTCAATCACTTTTAAAAATCACAGCACTAAATCTCCTCCAGGGGCCAGCAAAAGGACTCAGCAAGGAAAGGCACTTGCCACTAAACCTGATGATGAGTTTGATCCCCAGAACCCACACGATAGAAGGAGAGACCCCACTTCTGCAAGTTGTCTTCTGACCTCCATGTGTGTGCTGCAACACACATGCATTCACATACATGCACACAAAACAAATAAATAAAAATGCAATAAGGTTTTTTTGTGGGGGTGGAGTTTGAGACAGGGTTTCTCTGTAGCTTTGGAGGCTGTCCTGGAATTCACTCTATAGACCAGGCTGGCCTTGAACTCACAGAGATCTCCCTGCCTCTGCCTCCCTAGTGCTGGGATTAAAGGCGTGCACCTGGCTATGCAATAAGCTTTTAAAGTCATTTCCTACAGGGATTGGGACTGTAAAGTGCTTGCCGAATGAGCTATCAGTATGACCCGAGGATCTGACGTCAGATTCTCTGCACCCCTGTAGAAAGCCGTGTGTGGTGCTGTGGGCCTGTCATCCAGAGACAGTGTCTCTGGAGATCAGAGAAGTGGGTGGATGACAACATTCACTATTTAAAGAGAGAGGAGAGTGGTATAGATCCCAGAGCCCACATAACCTGGCTGTCGATTCATTTATCACCTTTAACCCCAGCACTGACAGACAAGGGAGGGTCCCTGGATCTTGATGCCTTCCAACCTAGCCAATAAAATGCAAGACCCAGGCTCAGGAAGAGACCCTGACTCTAAGGACTAGGTGGGAAGAGATAGAGGAGGACCCTGCCCAAGCCCAGGCCCTCCTCAGGCACGTGTACAAACACACGTGATACACCATGCACACCTCACATGTGTACACATACATTCCCTCCCATCACAGCACATAAAGACAAAGAGGAAAGCACACCCCTCCTGTCCACTCAAGAGATGCTTTCTCAGTCATTCTGAGGAGCACCCCAGGGTCTGGTCCCTGACCTGAAAGTCTGAGGTTCATGGGGGGGGCTCAAATTAAAAATGGATAAGTGGTTCCATCAAAACCAGACTTTCAACAATAGATGGCTGTGGCTGTGTGGGATTAGAACTCTGGCTGTGGCACTAAGGTGGCTGTGTGGGGTTAGAACTCTGGATGTGGCACTAAGGTGGCTGTGTGGGATTAGAACTCTGGCTGTGGCACTAAGGTGGCTGTGTGGGGTTAGAACTCTGGCTGTGGCACTAAGGTGGCTGTGTGGGGTTAGAACTCTGGATGTGGCACTTCGCACTTACTGGAAGGGTGACTTTGTGGGTCACCTAGGGTCCGGGGGCTTCAGGTTCCCATCTGTGCAGTGAGAGGCCACTGTCTACAGTTAGAGTTGGTGGGAGTGGTATGTCCCCTAGTCATAGAGTGCCCAGCACCGGATCTCACTAGAGAGGCTTCCGAAGTACTTCAAACTGCTCCAAGAGCGGTGTGTACACATGCTTCCGGTGTCTGGCTTTGTGCCGTCTGTGTGCACAGGTGTTTGTTCATATTTCAGCGTGAACAGGCATGTACACAGGCCTGTGTGCCCGTATGCAGTGTGCAGAAAGGGACTTGCGTGCGCTTGCATGGTGGAACACACCTCTTTATAGAATTCTGGGTGTGGACTTGCACAGGAAGGGAAACCCACCCAAGCCAGCATGGTGAATCAAGGAGTGGACGCCCCGGCCTGTCTCCCAGCTCTGTCCAAATCCCCTGAGATTTGCAAAATTGCTCCTGTGAATTCTGCCCAATCCTGAACCTGTCTGGAACAGGCTTCATTTTGATTCCTTCTTCCCAGATACTGGCACAAAGGCACCACTCTCCCTAAGGTCCCCTTCCCAGGGTGCAGGTCCAGGAAGCCCAGGCACAGAGGTACTGTACCCTTCTGCCTTCTCCCCGGCTGCCTCTACACCTCACGCCCATGGGAGCACCCCACAGTCCAACATCCAATATGTGCACATTTAACTTGCTAAACTCAGGCATCTAAAATAGCAATGGCATGCAAGATTCTCCCTCCTAGGCACTCTGTTGCCCTCAAGGTCCGCCCTCTCCCAGCACCGTGCTGGGAAGAGACTTCTATTCCCACCTCATTCCAAACCCTTTACAGGACACAGCACTGTCAAATCGGTATAAAGTTTGAAACGCTAAAAACAACCCAAGTTTTCTGCATGGCCCAAGGTCCGGAATTCCAGTTCAGATTTGCATTCTGTTTTGGAGCCAGATGAAAGCGTGCATCCCTGCAGAGAGGCTCAGACAGGACGCGGCCCAGGGGTGGATCTGAGTCCTAGCCCTGCTGGGGCTGCGCAGTTCAGCACCGAAACAGAACAAGAACTTGTGGGTCCCTGCACCCACACCCACCCGGGGGCTGTGCCAGGAGAAAACCCAGCAGAATGCGGTGGTCCAGGCTCAGGAGGGCGTTACCATGGTGATGCTCCTCTGGTCCCCGCGTGGATCCGCAGTCTCTGTCCCGCAGCAGCGTAACTCTGGCTCTCCTAGCCCTGGACCTAGTGTGGACTGTGGGCGGAGGACTCCCAACCCGGCCTCATCCCGAGAGGCAGACTGCCCGGGACAGGGAAGCTGAGAGGGGACCCAGACTGAGAGAGGGAAGTGGGGAGAGGCGAGCTACCCGCGGGGGGCGGGGCGGCGGTGGGACAGCGGCCCTTTGTGCGACGCCTCGCCCTGTGCCCGCCCCGCAGCCGCAGCCGCCGCGGGTGATGGGAGCACAGCGTTCCGCCCACCCCGCACCCCCTGCCGAGGCCACCGGAGCTAGGGGTGCTTAACGCTGCCCGGCTCTCCATCCAGAGTCTCCACCCAAGACTGCCGAGTCGGAGCTGGCTTCTTGTCCCTATCTTCAAGTCTTTTTGTCACCTGAGCCTCGGTTTCCTCATCTGTAAAATGGGGAGGCTGTGGAGGCAAAGCTGGTGAGGATAGCATCTTCTCCTGGAATCGGGGAGAAATGGTCACTATCGATCCTGACGGCCTAATCTCAGGCTTGGAGTAGTAGCTAACACACACAGCCTTCAAGAACTTGAAGCCCCCATGACAGAGACCCGATTGTTGTAAAACAGAGCACAGGGCACCCCAGACACCTACCCTGCCGATGCCTTGCCCCAGGACTTCCGGTCTCTGGAACCAAGAATGATGGAAGAAGGTGTGTTGTTTGAAAGCCCCGCCGTGGGATGACTCTGGAGTTACCATTTATTATCAAATACTGTGCCAAGTGCTGAGCCAGAGCAGCGCAGAGATACCCTGTCCTGGGGGCGTGTGTGTGTGTGTGTGAGTGTGTGTGTGTGTGTGTGTGTGTGTGTGTGTGTGTGCGCGCGCGCGCGCGCGTGCGTGCCTGCTGAGAAGGAATGGAGTTGATGGTCAGGAACTCCAGCAAAGGGACCTGGGAGATTTGACTGCTCTTCTCCAGGACCCAGGTTTGATTCCCAACACCCACAAGGCAGTTCACAACCATCTGTGACTAATAGTCCTAGGGGACCCCACGCCCTCTTTTGGCTTCAGAGGGCCCCGGGAACACACATGGCACACAGATAACCCCACACATATCAAAACAAGAGTGGCCAGAACTGAGTGTGTGGGGGTGGTGGCAGTCCTGCCTCTAACCTCCCAAGCTCTGCGATAGCAGACATGCAGAACCGTATTGTGTGTTAGTTGGTTCTGGGACTTTATACAGGCTAGGCAAGCACTCTACCAAGAGCCCCAACCTAGGAATGCATTCATTTAAGAGAAAACTGCCTTTGGTTTACAAGCCAAACTCAGCTAGGAGGTGGGGGTTGTGAGTTCTGGACAGCAATGGACAATGGGCACAATGGTCAGTTTCCCAGGATCATGGGAGACAGGAAGGGCTGTGAATTATTTAAGCAGAGAAAAATGGATCGAAAAGGCCTCAGGTGCTCAGAGAGTCTGTGAGAAACCTGGGGTCCCTCCTCTGGGAAGCAGAGGAGCAAATATACTCCAGGAGTCTCACTGCCCAGAATGATCTGGAAGCCCCTGAAAACCGGTGGGATTACTTCAAGTCATGAACACACTAAAATGGAACTTTCTGAGCATCAGACACTTTTGCAAGCAAGCTGCAGGCCGGGTCCAGCCACTGGCATCGTTTTACAAATGAAGAGCCCAAGGCAGAGTCAGGCGGGTAGAAAGCTGCATTCCTGGCTCAACAAGGCTGTCCGTTCTAGAAATCATGCCATTAACTACCTTGGTGTGCTGCCTGAATGAATCCCAGACATTCCTCTTGCCTGGGTCACTGTTCCAAAGCCTTGCAAGGCCAGTCTAATCAGAACATGCCTACGTGTGCCTGGGATTCCATTTGAGTAAGAGCTGGTCACCTAAAAGGAGGGGGAGCAGACATGAACCGGCCTCTCAATGGCAAGCACCAGTGCAGTGCACTGCTGGGCCTCTCAGCACGCTTCGTACCCTATGCCTGCGAGTGTTCTTCCAAAAATGTGCTGTGCTGATGTGCTGATTGGGTGTGACAATTCGACAGACACCCAAGAGTGTGTCCACTCATACGTGCACTTCTATTTGTGCACACGCACATGTACCCGCACACACACACACACACACCTATAGGGTCTGAGTCATAGAATGCCCTTCTGAGCCTCAGATTCATCTTTTGTGTGCACAGGACTGCCAAGGTTCGTCAAGCAGGCAAATATAAGGGCTCTGTTCAGTTCCAGGGACACAGAAGAGTTCAGTTATAAGACATAAAGAGGCCGAGCGATGGTGGTGCACGCCTTTAATCCCAGCACTCGGGAGACAGAGGCAGGCGGATTTCTGTGAGTTCGAGGCCGGGCTGGACCGACAGCCTCCAAAACAATACAGAGAAACCCTGTCTCATAAAAACCAAAAAAAAAAAAAAAGACATAAAGAAATGTGGCTTGTGCAGGGACCAATGGTTGTAAAAATCAACCCCCAAGCATCCAAGCTCAACTCTTGGGCTGGACTTGGTCCCTCTGGACTTTCCAGGGGATTCCCAAGGGTTGGTTAAGCATTCACATCCTCTCCCTTCAGCCAGTGAGTAACTGAACCATGTCCAATTGCTAGGCTAGACTTGGAGAAGTCAAATCCACCACCACTCATGTCTGGCATCTGTTGGAGAGAGGATGGGAGGTGACACGGGAAGAGTCTCTGCTGGTGATTCCTTGAGTGGTCCTGAGAAGATTGCATCCTACCCAGAGCCAGTTCCCTCGGCGGGCAGTGGAGGTCCCAGATGGTCCTGGTGGAGGATGTGGGAATCCCCTGAGATAATTCATTGGAAGGGTGAAAACCAAGCCTCGGTTATGAGAAGTCTTAAGCAACAGTTCTGCTTGTGACCTTGAGACTTTTGGGGCCAGATGCTAGGAATCCTCACCAAGGGGGCACAAGCTCATCTTGAGAAAAGGGAGTTACCAAATTTAGAGAGAATGTCATGGGAATTAGAATTTATTAATCCCCTTACTAAATATTTGTTCCTATCGTGAGGATGCCAGACACTCGGCACTCATGTACACACTTATCCTTCCTTGTCCATGACAGACATTACTAATCAATCACAGACCTTCCAGTAGAACCTAAAGGCAGTCGCAGATCCTCAGTGTACAGCACAGGCAGCTGCTACCAGTCAGCGTAAGTGATCATGGATCTGACATTCACTTGTCATCTGTGGTCTGAAATGTTAGTGTGGGCTGACATGGTGTAAGACAGGTTCCCAAGGCTGTGGATCTGGCTCTGAGTCTTGCCTTAAAAGCCCTGATAGGGTGGGGGTGTGACTCAGTGGTAGAGCACTTCCCTGCATGTGTGAGGAAGCCCAGCATAGCAAGTCATACACCTAAGGTCCTAGTGAGAATGAGTAGATACTACATCAGAGGCACATACAATCCACGGAGGTCCCCTCAAGTAATAGCCAGAGTCCTGGGAACCTTCAGGACCAGCTTTGTGGGCAGCCCACTGTGAACATATTCCCTGGCACACTTTCTATGGCTGTAACATAATACCCTGAGCCAGAACAATTTGTGAAGAAAAGAGGTTAATTCAGTTCTTCAAGAATTTCAGTTAAAATTTCAAGATAATGGACCAATAACAGACACCAGAGAAAAGTAGGACAGGCAGATGGAGCAGCGCATGTCGTGAGACAGGGAGTGAGTTTTCTCCTTGGAGGCGTGAAAGGTCAGGAGTGAACTAAAGAGGGGTTTCCTGGGATTCCTCCAACTGATGGGTGGGGCAGTACTGGGGCTGCTCTGGGGCCGAAGACCATCAGCCCTGGGATGGTGGATCCCACAGGCTCTGGGGGTTGCGAGGTAGTCCCTGCACTTCCTCAGCCTCTACCCTTTGGGCAGACACCCTGTAGCCTCTCTTTCCCTTCCAGCCCAGCCGTGTCCTGTTATTGTAGGACAGACCCAGGGAGGACTACTCAGGCCTGCAGGCTGTGCCCCTCTTCATCAGGAGAGGCAGCTATGAGCTGCCAGCTGAGGGAGGAAGGACAGCAGCCCCGCCAGCCCCGGGCACTACTTGGGCCTTCCTGCCTCCTTCATTGTCCTCCCCTGTCCCAGAAGATGACTTTTTCCCAGTATCTACTCCTCCTTAGAAGATCAAGACCTCTGGAAGTCTTGCCATCCTTCCGGATGTCACCACTCAGGGCTTCTTACTCACCCCCTCAGGAGTTCACCTTCTGTTGTGGGAGGCTACATCACATGGCTCAGCTGTGGACACAAACATGGCTGGAGTCTAGAGGAGGGAACCCAACCACACCCCCTAGGGGTCAAGTCAGAGAAGGTTTTGCGGAGAAAAGGACACTTCCACTAGGGTTTTCAAGGAGAAATACAAGTTTGCTATGGGGAGAAGGATGAGAGACATGTGAAGCCAAGGAAACAATGTATGCAACTGGCCATTGCTAGTCATTTCTACAAGGTTGGAAAGGGGCTCTGTGCCTATGTTTGTTGAATGAATGTTTGAGGGGAAGACAGAATTCTAGCGTGGCTGCATCAGAGTTTCAAGGCTGGCAGTGGATCAAACCAGGCAAACATAAAGTTGAAAAGATTATCATTTGAGTGGATCTAGAACTAAAACTCGGGGCACCTGCTCTCCAGTTTGCCAGAGCTCACAGCTGTTCATCTATTCAGTAATGTGGCCCCCTGTGCCCAGTGGAATCAGAATCCCACCAATGATTCCACATGATCTGCTCTTGCAGAGTCTGGACTGTGAGCTTTTCTCAGAGCCAGGCAAACAGCAGGTGCTCAATATATGTTTATCTACTAGGTGGGTGCATAGCATGGTGATTTTAAAACAAGCTGTGGTACTTTGAATATAATTGACCCCCATAAGATCATAGGGAGTAGCACTATTAGGAGGTGTGGCTTTGTTGCAATAGGTATGGCCTTGTTGGAGGAAGTGTGCCAAGGTGGGAGTGGGTTTTGAGGTCTCATAGATGCTCAAGCCAAGTCCCAGACCATGCCCTACCTGTGGGTCAAGATGTAGGACTCTTAGCTCCTCCTGCAACATCATGCCTGCCTGCACGCCACCATGTCCTACCATGATGATAATGGACTAAACCTCTAAAAATGTAAGCCACCCCAATTAAATGTTTTTTTTCCTTTGTAAGAGTTGCTGTGCTCATGATGTTT